GTAGCAGAGATCCAGATTGGAAAGTATGTGGAAGATGTATATCTTTATCTGCAGCATAATGTTCCTAGGAGCAAACAAACAAAAACAACATATAACATAAATATTAAAAATGCAAATAACATTTTTATTTTAGTATCTACTAATCACTGTGCCTTGAAAAAGCTTTCATCAGTCTAGAACTTTGCCTTGTCACATTTTTGTGCTTGAGCAACATAAAATTACATGTTTGTAAAGTCGAGCAAGAAGAATCTATGGTTTAATTTTTTAAAATGAAAATCTAAGGGGTGTACATTTGTTTTCAAACCCCCCCTCCCCTATTCAGATACCCCTAAAAAAAATTTTGTGTAAAAGATTCCCTTCAGAAGAAACTGCGTGTCCAGCAGTAGTATATAATTTGATCTCAGAATATCTCAGCCTTTGGAGATTTCAACGATTCCTGTTCAATCAGTCAACCAAAAATTTTAATGATGCCAGTATGGCACATAGTAAAGAACTGGTCAGAATTGATGGAAACATGGAGATTGGTAACTATAGGACAATTCAGGGGGAAGAAAACACAGCCAGGGCTCCAACACTGTGGGCAACAGACCCTTATAGCTGTCTACTGTCTCCAGACCTAAATTCAATTTTGCAGCAAAGCTTGATGTGACTGATTTCACAAAGACAAACAGGCTATAAAGTACTTGTTCAGGGGGAACCTGAAACGAGTATAAAACCTTTAGCAAGGCATCGTATCTGAAATGCTCATGCGGAAAAATAGAAAAATTACCTTTGAGGATGAAATCCATGGAGGTGTTTCAGTGTCTTCCTGTCGTGTTACATGGACTCTGCTTGCCGAAGGTTCAGACTCAGAGGGAGTGGGAGACTGGGAGTTTGCTTCCAGAAACAAAACAGCTCGATTGGTTTCATCCTCCTCGTTTTCAACGAGCAGTGATGGACTGATATTCCCCACATCGTGGCAGGGGCGATGGTGGCTGCTAGTAGAGGAGTCATTAGGTGACAGAGAGCAAAAAAGCAAATCCTCCGAGAAAGCACGCTTAGGAGTGCAACGACTGGATGCAGGGCTGTCTGGAGAGGGTTCATCAGCCTTTGAAGTTTTCTTATCCAAGAATAAAGTATCAGAAATCTGATTGTTTATCAGCAAACTTTCAATGCGGGAGTCCAAACTCCCAACCACAGGCTGCTGCTCTCTGTGGTTTACTGCAGTTTGACTGACAGCTGTGAAATGGATGCTCTGGATGCTGGCAGCATTGTGCGAGGAAATCACAGACGAATAGCTGCCCTTGTGTTCTGACTGCTGAAGACCGGAGGCAGGACTGCAGGGGGGCTCCTGGTAGGCAGAGCACTTTGCTTCATCATGCCATACTGCGAGCTGCTTCTGATTCGAGGGCGGGTTCAGAGGCTGCGGCTGGCTACTCTTAAACAGAAGGCTGATATTTGAAGGCAGACGAGATCCCCTGTGATAACTCACAGGCCTAAAACGGCAAAGCGCTCGTCTTAAATGTTTATGAAGACTATAGCTGGAAGGCTCTCCCTGGAGGACAGGAGTCGCCTGAAGGCTGGAGTAGCAGGAATCCTGGGAGAGAGGAGTCGCAGACAGGCAGGGAGTGCGGGGTGTTCCCTGAGATTGTGGCGTTAGGCCCAGGCTGCAAGGAGTGTCCCCCCAAATGCTGGAGTAGGCTGTGTCCAGGGAGAGAGGAGTGGCAATGCTGGAAGGGCTGGAGGCGTTTCCTGATTGCTGAGCTGCGGTGTTGGTCTACGACAGGAGGGACAGATGGGGGGAAAGCAACATGAAGCCAAAAAGTTATTTAGCCTCTGGTAGGGCTGGGCGAAATGGCTTCAAAATGAAATCTCTGATATTTTCATACCGGATCCGACTTTCAATTTTCATCAAGATTTCTAAAATCTTTACCATGATTTATTAAGATTGTTTTTCAATTCAATTAAAATACTTTTGTGATCCCAAAGAGAAATTAAATGTCGTTATAACTCATATTAATCCAAATTAAAGAGTTTAAGACCATTCTGAATTAAATTGAACACCTGTGTCAGAACACACATGTACAAAAGACAATAAATTGGCAATACATTTGCACTTATCCAGGAAGGATGTTAAAAAACTAGCTACCTAGCTATCAAGGGTATAGTAGCAGCCAGCTCCTAGTAGCTACAACTGCTTTAAGTCACAGAAGGCAATGCAGATGTGAGCGTGAGCGACTCAAAGTTTAGCCTGACAGCCTAAACAGACATCACCCTGAACTTTGGTGAAAAAAACAAAACAGATGTTCAACCCAAAAGATTTGATTAATCAATAAAATGGATTAATCGCCCACCCCCAGCATGTGGCGTCAGGTTTCACAGCATCACCAGCAGCTTTATTGCTTACCAACAGGGTGTCGACTAAGCTCTGCAGGGCGCGCTCACTGCTGCCCACAGGCAGCGTCCAGGGAGTATATGCACCGTTAAACAGCAGCTGGAGATATCTGGTCCTTTTCTCACCTGCGGAAATCCTTGATTCGTTAGTTAAGCAAAGACAATTACATCTACCTAAATGTAAGAGGGAAAACAAACCACTTTCACCTTTGGGATCAATTTCCACATGTATGATGTTTCCCATCACAGATGTCTGATGAAGGTGCCGCACGGCGTTCTTTGCAGCTCTCACTGTGTCAAAGATGACCTTCGCAACCCCCAGATGCTTCTTGTTGTGGTAAAATAGTTCCACTTCTTCGACTTTACCATATTTCTGGCACATATTTGTGAGGAATGCTTCCCTCACATTATCATTTAACCTGCAAAATGTCACTTCCTTGGGAGGAACAGGCCCAACGTACCACTCATCAATCTGGAAAGACGTACAAAAACATTAATTTTTATTTATTTTATTTTTTTCCAAGGCCCTGTTCGGCCACATCTAAAAAGACAATTTAAAAAAAGTCAATTACTCCAAATATTCAATGTGAACATTTCAATTTGAAATTTTAACTCATGGACTCAGGGTTGTTTCTATTATTTTAATGATCATAGCCTACAGTTAAATAAAATACTTTTTTTTTTTTGCCAAAAAAAAAAAAAAACTACACCGTGTTCCAAATTATTATGCAAGTGATATTTTCTCTGATTTTCTGAAATGGTCAATGCAAATGATGGCCAGTATGATTTAATGTGCCTGTTTGTATAACTACATAGAAAAAGTACCTTATATTTAGGAACCAACAAGTCAGTCCTGTTGTATTTACTCCACAGGCGGCAGACTCTGGGATCTCTGACGGTGTCCACAGGAAACAGACCTAAATCCTCAACCTGACAACAAAAAATACTTACTATTGTCGTGGAATATAAAATGAACTCATTTCAACTTTTAGGCAAAGGATGGACGCAATTATTGGAGGTCAATACTTACGGGTAGGTTAAAATATTGCCCATCAAAGCGACACACTTTGTACAGTCCTTTAGTTAAGGCAGGGTCAATGATTAATTTGCAACTTTTCCACTGCTGAGGAGGTGTCTCTGTCTCTGTGAATTGGTTTTCGCTTTCCATTACATTAGTCAAAACCTGTGGGAACGTCAAAAATAAAGGCCATATGGCGTCATTTTGCAGCACGGTCAACGCTGCTGTAAGCTAGCAGAAATGAGTCCTCCAGCAGAGGTTAACACACCCCGACAGGTGATGGAGAGCATCACCTGTTTCCATATCTGAACGATAACAGGCTGTGAAACGAAACACGCTCAAATACCCAGAGTTAGTCGGAGCGGAACACTCCTTATCTCGCTTACCTGTACCGAAGTTTTGTCTTTTGAACAGGCAACATTGTTGCAAAGCTGTTAAAAATGTTCGGTGTTTTTTTTTTTTTTTTTTTACACGTCGTCGCGCTGGTAGGATAATGGATTCATCCGCCAGGAGGCAGAAACAGAGAATGTAATGTAGATCCTGGGGCTGCGCGGAAGAACACCGAAAGAGTGGAGTTACATGGAGTTACATGGAACTCGGGAAATATCCCTCCAAAATGAAACTCACTCCAACTTCTTAATGACTAGAATATGCTTAAGAAATTTGATAGAAAAATCTACATATAAATTGAGCAATTTTATAGAAAATTGCTTGTTTTATTTCTGTATAATAATTAAGTTGTAATACATTCATGACCAGTATAAAATGCTTCGTGCGTGTAATAAACTGCAAGAAGAAACTGGATTTATTGAGCCTGTATCAGGTTTCTTTCACTTTTATTACTTTGTTTTAAAATATCATCTATTTCTAATCCAACAGCACATGCTGAATTCAACATTCACTTCAACCAAAGTGGATGTTGGTTCACTTTGGTTGTCATAAAGGCAACTTGGAGACTCTTTGTATAGCTTTACATTGAACATCAACTTTCTTATCCACCTTCAACAGTGTTAAATCTTAGTATATGTCATGCAACTTTGAGATCTGGTGAAACATTTTTAACCCAAGTAATACATGTTTAATAATCTAATTAAAATTTATAACACAACTCTGTTGTATTAAGCCAAGCCAGACCTGGATCGGTCCATATTTTACCAATGAATGTTTGTAAAAGACCCTGGTTTAGTTTAACTCTAAAGGTTTATCTATATCTCTGCATTTGAAATTTAAGCTCAACACATTGTAAAAATGTTGAATGTCATTGTTGCTGCAAATGAGAATTTGTCTGCTCAAGAAACTGTTCATTGTGACACAGCAAATGGACTTTTGGTTTATGAAAAACAATCTTGAAAATTTGTGCAGAGAAAGTCTTAGCAAACAAACAAACAAAAAAGAAATCTATCTTTAGTTTAGTAAAGAAAAATGGTTTGTGGGTCTTTGTTGTGACAGAGGCTCACGGCTGAGAGCCGTGTCCTAATTTAAACCACGATGTCCACATGTTTCCTGTGTGATTGATTCTACTGTGACCCAACTTCAGCTCCTCTCCACAGTGTTGCATTGTTTTCCTCTGCATTTTTAGACACGCAAATGAGAATGTGATGAGAATGCGTAAATAAATATATTTTATTCCCAATCTGATCCAAAAGTGACATGACTAGAAACACACGGAAACAAACAGAGCATTTAATGAAGCCGTGCTTTCAAAACATACAGTGGCATACACTCGATTTAATAAATAAGCACAGAAATGAACAATAGTAACAGAAAAGTGTCATGGAAGATTGCTTCCTGATTAATTCTGTGAGTAATTACCTCACAACCAGACATTTGGTAAGGCACTCCTGTGAGTTTTTGGTATTTGACTAAATTACAAAAGTGAAAATTAAATCAGACCAGGAACATTTGAACACTGAAAATGACAAGCACGACAATTACAAAGCTCCGTACAACCTATGAGCAATACATACGCAAGTGACCCTACAAAACAACACAATCTACTTATCAACAGAAAAGTGTAACCATATTCCAACAAAGTGTGGCATCGCAATTATAACTCAGAGTGCAACAGACAAGCTTTGCAAAGACAGTGTCTCATGCAGCTTTGCTACGGAGAGACAACAACAACCTCAGCCACGTCGAAGCTTTCATTGATGTGGACATGAGAAAAACACAAGCCTTACTCCGCAACACAAACAATCCGTAACCATGCTTCAGCTTGTGAACTACTGCACAAAATGTACAAAACACACATTTGCAAATAACAATTTAAACAATTTGATGCTCTGCAAAAGTTGTTCAAGAACACTTTCCCTACAGCCGGTCACCACTTCTTGATTTACAGTGTATTTGATTGAAATAAACAAACAAAAAGGACGGTATGAAAATGAGAACATGGAGGACAAAAGGGTGTCCTTAATAAACAGTTTAACAGTTGTAGTGATATTTAACTGATTTAAAATTCATTGTCAAAAATCCATCAGTCAATTTGTCCTTGATCAATGCAGTGCAAACAATTGTTTGGCAGGTCAAAGGTTACCTACTTTCATGGACTAATCACTGTGGTCCAGGAAAGGCGTCTTTATTTAACGATGCCCTCAATTGAAAATATAGCATTTCTATATATTTTGTATATGTATTTCTTCACAAATACTGCAGAATGTCTTTCCCCAAAAATGATCTTTGGTAATTTCAGGACACTATACCGTGAAAAAAGCTAAACGTAAATCCCAGAGATGAGTCCTGAAAACGGTTCTTTTGTTCAACGGTTCTTTTGTTCTTTTGTAAAACATTCAGAGATTTAGTTCAGAGATTTAGTTCAGAGATTTAGTCGTACTGAAAATGATAACAAAAACAAATGTGATGCAGTGCAATCATTTCACTCATTAACTAACAAGAAAACAAGGTGGGAAAAACTTTGAGCTACAGCTGAATGCTGCACTAGACATGCAGCGACCTGTAGCACGTCTGAGAAGAAAACAGCACTTTGACAGAGGCATACATTCGATAGTGAAGACTCCAGACAGCCTGGGATACTGAATTTGAGAGAAATATTGATTCATCTTATCCCAGTTTTCATCTTAGAACAGCTGGCATTTTCAAATCCATTTAAAATAAAGCATGTTGTGCACAATTACTCACACCTGCCCTCTTCAGCTGATTTTGAACTTTCCCTCATCAACAAGAAGACACTCATAGCGACACATTCGGCCGCTTACATATAACCAAATGGCTGCTAGAATAAAATACAGATCTTTATATTAAAGCCAATAAAATGTGTAAGTCACCCCAGCATCTCAGTGCTTTCGAAATTTAATCTCACAAATCACGCACTTTTATCTTTTAAGGATGTCGGCAACTAAAAATGATTTAATTACCTGCATATAAAAGTAAACCAAATTTTGTAAACATCCAACACATAGAAAATGATTGAGCTGTGAAATGCATGCTGTGACTCATCAGAATATCAACATAAAAAAAAAGAAAAAGGGAAGTCTACGAAACTCGATGGGTTACAGTTACGGGAAATGTCCGGCTGCCTTCAGCTCGTCGTTCTCGGCCCCGTGATTCAGCTGTTTCTGGAGCTGAATGACCTGGTCCAGCTCTCGGATCTGCCGGTCCGTTTTGTGGCTGACTAGCGTGCGGTAGAAGTGGACAGCGAAGACGATGAAGACGAGTCCGAACGGCACCATTATGCAGGTGGATGCGATGGCCGCCGCCTCGCCGGAGCTGATGGTGGCGTTGGTTTCCTTTTTGAGCGGCAGAAACTTCACCCAGCAAAGGAGCATGACCTCAGTCAGGAACAGGAGGGTGCCGATGACCGTGGAGAAGGCCCAGGCCAGCTCTATGTGGCGGTGCATGCGCTCGTGGGGCGACTCGTTGACGGAGTTGAGGTTGTGAACGTTGCTGACGGCCTCCAGGTTCGGGAGGATGCAGGTGCTGATCATGAGGGCGAACAGATGCACAGCGACCAGAACGGTGGTGCAGGCGCTGAAGGCGATCAGCAGTCCGGGAGGATACGTGTGAGTGGGCTCCAGCTGTACCTCCACCATGGCAACCTGGGAGAAAACATCAAGAGATGTTTAAGCAACAACGACAACCAGTAAAGATTTGTCTTTCGATTAGTTCTGCCATTTTGAAATTGCGAGATAATTATTCTGTTGACATGAGAGAAACGAATACTTCTTTTTCTTTCATTAACATTTTACCAACCTATTTTCTAACTGTGGCTATACGATGTTAAATTTTGATTCGTATAAATGAAATCAGTTTCATGGTCCGTACTGTCTACTCAGTTCTAATGATGGACACATCATTTTTCCTCCCACTAGAGTGTTTTGCTTCAGACATGCATAAAAATGTTTATTTCCTCAAATAAATGAATTTACAATGAATCCATTTATTGCTGATCACCATAAGTTCATGCCTCTATTCATTATCCATAACCAGACTGCCAAAAATTTAAAACTGGAAAATGTCACCAAACTTAAGTGCAGCAAAAAAGTGTTCGCACTGGATGGCTGAATAATACTTTGGGATCTTTACTTGTAAAAAATAATTCAATAAAATGTTCTTCACTATCCTTCGTAAGTATATGTTACTTCGTGTTGATCTGTCACAGTAAATCCAACAGAACACAATGTTTGTGGGTGTAATGAAACCAAACATTAAAAACAATCATTTTGCATCTCTTATACGCGCACTAAAAGTAGTTTTCTGTATCTATTAAAAGTTTTTGTAATTCAGGCTGTAACAAGGTCGCAGGAAATAGACATGATGTGTTCCTTTCCCTTCGTGACACTTCAGTTCAGCTAACACCTTTTCTTCAAAGCATTTTCTTTCCACCTCGGTTATCTTTGGCACGCTGGCAACGAAGCGAGCAAATAGCTACAGCACCTTGAAAAAAGTATTTAGATTTTGCCACGTTTCAACTGGGGCTTTTATGAAATTTACATTTTTGAAAACAAAAGTCTAAAAAGTTTCTGTTTTTATGCTTTTAGTCCTAAAACCAGAGTCCTTCACAACAATTACAGCTCAAAGTCTCTTGCTGCTGTACTGTTTGGGGTGATCTGATTTTTTAATTTTTTTCCTGTAATACTCTGTACGAAAGTCAAAAAGTTCAGCGTTTGCAACTTTTTCCAGTAAAGTAACTTGAGATTACCCCTGTTGTAAACTTTTGTTACATAAAACTGAACTCTCCACCCGAGCTGTGAATGTCCACAACTCCTCCAGTTACCACAAGCGTTCTGGCTGCTTCTGTAATGAATTATGTCTTCGACCAGCCTGTCGGTTCAAACGGACGTCCTTGTCTTGCAACTTTTTCTTCTGAGATGTATGGTTTCATCTTGAAATAAATTAAGCATTGATTGCTTAATTTATTAAGCAATCAATCGAGCAATCAAATCTAACTTTAAACAGAAAGTTTAAAGTTTGAGACATTATTAACCACTTCTCTGCTGTGTTCCTTGATTCATGACAATATATATATATATATATATATATATATATATTTTTTTTTTTTTCTGACTAACCTATGATACCTTCACAGAGCAGCTGAATCTATACAGAGAAAATTACAAGTGAATGCAGGCACCACATGACTTTATTTAGGGGTATCAGTAAAGAGAGCTGAATGTGAATACATATGCACATAACAATTTTCAGGATTTTTACTTTTTAATCGCACGTATGCACGTAATTTATGTTGGAGTACAGAATTAAAACCCAATCTGTTACACTAATTGTTGAGATTGCAGCCTGACCACAGTGGGGGAAAAGCTCGCCTGTTGGCCCCTCTCTATAAAGGAGGGATCGTCGCGGACAACAATAATCTGCGTCACACGCAAACTCTCCGGGTGTTGGTGCGCGCGGCCCGCGAAGTCGCGCATTATATCCGCGAGGACCCAAACCCCACGTACTCACCATGGCGAAACCCGACAGGAGAGCCGAAGTGCGGCTGGTGGCCTTGAGCTTAGCTCGGCTCAAGTACAGCTTTCTCCAGGACAGCGCCTGCATGGAGTGCTCGTTCAGGCTCATTCTGGCAGCTGTTCCAGGAGAGACCCGAAAGTTTTTCCTGACGACGCGGAAATGTGTGACAACGCGCTCGGAATCGACGGAGGAGCTTCCGCCCCAGCCGGAGGCTAAAAATAAAAGACTTCTATAGGGGGCAGCTTCGAAAATCTGTCAAAAAAAAAAAAAAAACTTCTCCGCAACAGCTGACCAACTCTATGAGGAGGAAACTCAAGATACCCACAATTCAACGCTGCTCGCAGCCGCTGCAACTGTCAGGTCTGCCCCCTGCGCTTCCCCTTCCCTCTGAAAAATAAAATAAATAAATAGGTTTGCTCTCTTTGACGCCCTTTCTTTTTCTTTTTAGCTAACCTTCTGCGCGCGCAGTGGCCTTTGTGGCGCACCCAACTCGATCACCTTGAGAGTTAGTTGAAGTAAAAATTTGCTTTGCCGCTGTAAGGTAAATAAAAGCGAGCTGTCTTTTTTCACAGAGATTTCTGTGTCACCGAGAGGCCGGTTCAACTCTAAAAATGTATAAATGAGTAAATACAAATGTTATTGTGCACTTACACGCTCCACTTGAGTGAGTCAACCCATTCAGTCGCAGCCAATGGCGTCACAGCAACTCGATGCATACAGATGTTCTACTTTCTGCCTTCAGATAGAGCATCATGATGGAGAATAAAGACGATTTAGGTTACCTTAACTACGTGGGATCATTGTTGGTGACTGGGGCACGGTTGTCTGAGTATTTTGGATCCCGTGGGAATTTCAGATATAGTCATTTATTTGACTTGTGGTCTGAAATATCCATTGAGCATATCCATGTGGATACCCATTCCAGAGGTCAGATGGAAATGGGTGGACTGGCTGGATATGACATAATGGCAACAGCAGCTCGAATAACTGTTTCTTGGAACCGGTTTATGTAAAGTACCAGCAAAATTATCCTACATTTCCCAAACACTTACAAAAATTAGGCAGCTTTTTTGGTCTGACGAGTCTCTGTTTCAGTTTCAACGAACGTCATTCAAATGGAAGGGGACAGAAGTATAAGCAACAAGAAAGCTTATCAATCCTAAATTCTGTCTTCCATCACTGGCTGAGGCTGCTGCTGATAGTGGTTGTAAAATGCTACAATTGATTTATTCTTGGCACACTCTGGACAATTTGAGCATTGCTTAAACTCCACATTCTGAGTATTGCCAAGGGCTATATCCATCTCTCTACAGTGCTGTCGTCTTCTGATGGCTCTTGCTCCATCCGTTTTAAAACACCATGTCACAAAGTTCAAACGACCTCAAACTGATTTGTTGACAGTAGCAATGAGTAAGACGCCTGTACTGCAATGGGCTCCACAGTTGCCACGTTTAAGTTCAGTAAAGCACCTTTGCATGTGGTGGAGAAGGAGATAAAGGAATCATAGTTTCATAGCTGACAAATCTACAGGAACTGTGTGATGATGTCATGTCAAACAGACCTAGGTTTGTTGACATAGGTTTGCTATGTCAACAAACCTACATAGCAAGGTTTGTTGTTAAATGTAAATCACATTTACATTTAACAATGTAAATGTGATTTACATTGTTAATTTGTGACATGAAATGTGTTTTAGAATGCTAATCGGTACCAATGGTAAGAAAACATGTATTAATATTAAATGCAGCATTTGCACTTAGATGCATGCATCTAAGTGCATGCACAGTTGTGCTCATCAACGATCATGAAGACGGAGAAGGAGAAACAATATCAGAGACACTAGATGGTGCCAAAGAATAGCATTTCACCAACATTTCACTGAACTGCACAATTGTCAGTCACCATTGTACTTACATAAGATAGATAAGAGAGCCACTGTTACCTAAATATGTGCACTGGTGCTGTCTTCAAATGAAACATGATTGTCGATTGCATTTATGTTTGAACTAATGTTTAAATATGCATTTGTTACTGGTTTTACCCACAAAATCGAATAAAATCTATTTATTTTCCATTGCATTCTCTATACACAAAAAAATGAATTTTTCGGAGACATATAAATGTTACTGTGAATAATTTGCTAACTAGTTAGACAGTCTAAGAGATAAAAAGCAATTACTTAGTTTAAGAAAAGAATACTGTTAATTAAAGACTGGGGCAACGTTCACAAAATATGTTTAAATATTCAGTTTGCATATCTCGTTACAAGTCTTCCCTAAAATAGCAAAGGTTAACATGTTAAGTAAATAAAATAAACAAAGACGGAAATTTCCTACGGAGAGTCATCTTGTATCTGACTACCTTCACTTCCTGCTAAAACAATGCTGCATTCACATCACGCAGTATGTGTCGTTCCTAACTATAAAGACATTAATCAGTTCGTTAAATGTTGTAAATTTCTTCACATAAGTTTACATTTACAATTTGTGGTGTGTTGGTTTTCATTTTTGTCTCCTTCCATCCTTAAATGTTTTTTTTTTTTTGCTCTGTTTAAAGGGATAGGATGAGTTTTTTTTAAATACTTTTAAAAGGTTGGCCACAGTGACCCTAATCTGGCTTTATATTAAAATGAAAAAAAAAAAAATAAAAATAATAAAATAAAAATACTACCAAAATATTTACCCTAACAGTTACTTTAGCAAATATTTTCAGTGTTTTTTTTTAATCACAACCTTTCCAGTCATTAAATTTTTATTATTTGAAGAGAAGCACCAGGGTAAATCGGGCTATTCAAATATACCCATCACCTTGTTTTTTCCCTCACTTTTTTCCATTTACCCTTTTATTTTCGGAAAATGCGTAAATATAATATTATCGTTTAATATTGCAGTGGATTGTAATTAGCCCATTGTTTATCTTTTCCATCATTAAAAATGATCCCACCACTTCATTGAAGCTTCAGCATACACTTAAGTACACATCAAATGTGATTAAGAAAGATGCAGCCAATGTGCATGTAATGTTGAATATAGAAAGAAGTAAATGAACTTGAACCACAGTATATATCAACAGAACCATGCCACAAAAAAGACTCCTATTGATAAACCATGATGGAATTATGAATCCCAAGTTGTTCGGTATATCCTATGGTAAAAGTCAAGAATAATATGCTTATTATTATTATTATTATTATTATTAAATTGTAGGCAAAATTTTACCTTTTTGTAGACTTTCACAAGGATTTTGCTCACTGTGAATTCAGCGCTATCTCTTTAAGTGAACAGGAAGCTGATATTTCCCGCGGCACGTGAAGGCAGCGCGGTGAACATCGCTGGCATCTGCTGGGCCGTGTTGCTGTGTGGGAGGGGGGGGGCGAGCTGAGCCGCGAGCTCGTTCAGCCATGTTAGTTTCCTTCTGCTGTTCACGAACGATGAGAGAAGAGAGTCATGGCCTTGTCAATGAGCGGAGACGATGAAGAATATGAGTCAGAGTCCGAGCAGGTACTCACCGCTACTCTTCGTTATGTTGACGGTTTTAGTCCGTGGGAAGTTTAACGAAGTGTGAGGAAGAAAAAGGCGGTTTGTTTTTTCTTTTTGTGCGGCAGCTTAAGGTTAGCGGTAACCCCGCTCTGTGTGCTGTGTTTGTGAGTCAGGTTCAGTCGAAGATATTAGAAAAAGGTGTTTATAAACGTCACTCACCTGTAATAATGGACATTATGTACACGTATAAAGATGTTTATTAGCTGCTGTACACCAGCTGTCCGGGTCACACCAGACACTCTGCTGCTTTGATGTTAGCTACAACTGACCCATTTTGAGCTGGCCATTAACGCGGCGCAGCTTCGGTCCAGTCATGATTTCGATAATTTCCTGTTCGCAGAAGCCTCCCACCAGCCAGCAGCTCGGCTTCAACGTGTTTTAAATCCAGACGCAGAGTGAAGCTCTTTCTGCTCCCCCGAGCAGCGAGCTGCCACGTTGGAGAAGCTTTCTTTCTTTTGATTCATTTCCTCACTCTTCCAAAAAACTTGTCCTGCCACTCTGCGCCTTTAAGAAGGCTTTGGGCGAAATGTTGTTGAGGCAGGGACCGGGGAGGGGGATGGGGAGAGGGAACAATGAAGTGGCTTTACTTCTGGTGCTGGCTGGACCTCTGCTTCTTAAACTAGGGGTACCCACAATCCCACCACCCTAAATAAAAAAAAAAACAAACAACAAAAGCACCGTCCTTTTGCGCAGATCTTAACATTTTACTCGTTTTGTGCCTGGTAGAGTTCATGAGGAACGCTTAAAAGTGCTGATGCAAGATCCACATCAACGGGCTTGCACAATATTTGTACCCACAACACGGTTCCATTATCAGCACAATATCAAAGATGATGTTTTCACTCATTTCCACCGTGACACGTGGTTTGTGGACAGCAGCACTTGTTGTTATGAAGACCTCAGCAGATGATGAGCCTTGTGACTTTCTCCTACAAAATCCGAAGTGAGGCTGAGTCAGACTGTGCTTGGCATAGTAAGCTGTACTTTTTTTCCCCCCTTTTTTTTTTTTTTGTTCACAGGCCTCTGCAGCCAATCCCAAATTCCTGTCATATTACTGCAGAGTAGCAGTCAGCACGAATCAGCTGATGCAGTCATGGCTCTAGGGGCCATCTTCAGCAAATGTGATCAGGGTTTTTGTTTGTCATATCTTTCACGGCGCTACATTTTCGTTTTTATTTAAAGCGAGGCATGGACGTAAAGTGGACTATTCGAGAATATAATCTTTTTTTTTTTTGAACTCGCATCTGTTTCCATTTATCCCAGTTTTCAGAATTTTAGAAAAAACTGCAATATTGCGATTATGGTGTTAATTGCTATTAACTTCGTTTATCCTCACTCTTCAATTTGTCATCAAGATGGCCCCACCAGTATAATGAATGAATTGGATCCAGTTCAGGTGTGGACAGGAAACATGTAGAGAGTCCGATCCAACCAGCCAGATGTGTTATCTATATTAAGGGTTTTCATCCAGGGAGTCTCTTTTTGTGGCAGAGTTGCAGAAATTACTCTCAGAATCCATTTTATTGACTTTGTCTGCACTAGCAGGAATTTGACTTTAAATAACAGACTATATAGACTTCAGAGGAGATGAAATGAAAAAAGGAAAATAAATCACATTATTCACCTCTTGTGAGAACTAAAACTTCTTGTTTTATTGCTTTTGGCCACTTCCTCTGCTGCAGTTCATCGAAAACTATCTTTATCATGGTGGTCCATATTTATAATTTATTTTTCTCAAAGATGTGACGCTGAAAAACGGGCATTTTACTCTTTCATACTCCATTTTTCTTTACGTCTAGAAATGGGACTTTGTACCTTCGGACATTTATAAGCACTTTGTTCTTCCGCCCGCTTGCACTACTGATTTCTACTATCTACTGCTAACCTACCGTTTGATACATGACTTGCATACTTGCTTGCTTTGAGGTATTTTGGTTTGATCAGAGATCACAATAAGCAGGCTGCTGCACAATGATTTGAAATGCTCTGGAGTGAAACAACACTCCTCGTGTGAAAGTGGTAAATATTGGTCAGGTGAGTGATGAGGCGACTTCGGCTGTTGTGAGTGATGCTGACAGTCACAGTCGTCCCTGGAGCAGCTGCTCATTCCTCCCACATTTATTATTATTATTATTATTATATTATTATTTTTACAGGAGCTGGATGCGTCTGTGCATTCCTCCGAGCTTCTGCTTCTGTCATTCTTCTTTTTTCCCTTTTTTTCCTAGTTCCTCTAGAAATAAGCTTATAGTGAACTTTTGTGTCAGACGCCTCATTGTGTTCTCTTCAAAATGGCACAAAGAACTAGAAAATAGTCTAGGAAAAGTCTGGAATTCATTCTTGTGGGGGGAAGAATGTGAATCTGTTATCTGAAGGATTAGGGAGAGGAGATTAGTCAAGTAATGATTTACTTTGGATGTTTTCAGTTGGAGTCATCAGGACAAGTTTCACCTCTTCTGTAAAGCTTCAGTCATTGTTGCCGTTAACCCAGATTGTCCTGTTGACCTGCCGACGCACGTTACCTGTTATACCTGTCCTCTGGATGCAAGCAGGAACAAAATCTACCTCCAGTTGTTTGCTAACGTGCAACAATTTCAGGAGCTAGCAGCAGCAGTAGTAAGTCAGTGGAGCCTAAAAGCAATGCTATAAGAATAAATCAGAAAGATGTTCACAGCCTCAAAGGAAATCATAACCACCTCCAGCGAGTTTATTTTTATCCATCTGTCACGCTCCCCTATTTAAACATTTGCCACCAGCAAGGCGAACTGTTGCCAAGGTAACGTCTCCTGCGAAGATGAAAGGAGCTGAGATGGTTTCTTCTTTTTGTTGTATTTTATAGTAATGCCATGGAAACCAGGAGGATTTTTAAAAAAGAGATTGATATTGAAGATAATTTAATGAACATTGCTGCAGCTTTTCTACTGTAAGTATGTGGGTGTTAGTTTTACTGTTTTTTTTATGCCTTCCTCCTCCTGCTTTACTTTGTGATTAAATTTAATTGGACCAGATGAGGCTTCATTTGTGTGGCCTGCTTGTGTTCTGTGGAGAAATGCATGATGGAGATATCAGGGTTTTTCAACTGAGTGACGAACTATTAAATTATTGTTAATTAATCCCGATAGTTTTCATGCAGCGCAGCCCTGAATATCAAATATATAGGTTAAACTTCCTTCTGACATGCTTTACCACTTTTCCTGGCAGATTTTCAAAATAAAAACAAAAATCCCCCGTATTAGTTTCTGCAGGATCTTGAACTACAGTTACTTAATGCTTAAACCTGTAAATGCTTTCACTGCGTTTTGGTCAAGGTGTCAGTAGAGTTCATTTGTTAAATTTGCTGTAGTTTTTGCAGAGGAATTCAGATATTTTGCGCTACAACAAAACTACAAATCCAAGGCTTGCAAAGAACTGTACCCCGGAAGCTGCCGAGTTGCAAATATAACATTCTTTTTTATCTAATGTTATGTTTTAGTTCATTATTAAATATGATAGTTTTTGTTATGCTTAAGTTAGAAATTTAAATCCAAGAGATTTTGCAATAATAACAAAAAGACTGACATCCGTTCCTATGTGAAAACTTCATTTAAAAGTGCATCAAAGAACATGCTGTTATTTGATGTGTTTAAAGACTGAAAACTGTAGGAGTAGTTAGTTTTGATGTGTTCAATTAACAGGCAAGATAAATCAGATTTTTCAGTAGTTGACCTGCAGATTAGATCCATACCTTCTTTAGTTTATATTTGTCCAGAACCTGAAATAACAGGGAACAATCAATACATCACATGTCTGATCAGCATCAGCGACTCCCAATAAAGTATGCTGACTCGGCATTTTACCAAGAGAATTTCTCTAAACCTCTCCATGTAAAAATATCAACTCTCAGACCTGTAGTTTATTTGGTTTTCGATGAAGCATTTGAACCGTTTTTGTCTTCCAGCAGCGAGCAGTCCACCGTCCGAAGCCAAAGATGGGGTCAACGTCGGGCGTCAAGCTGCCGTCCAACCGGAGCGCGTCGGGAGCCAGGCGCAGGAGAACGCGCTGCCGGAAGTGCGAGGCGTGTCTCCGCACAGAATGCGGAGAGTGCCACTTCTGCAAGGACATGAAGAAGTTTGGGGGGCCGGGGCGCATGAAGCAGTCCTGCATCATGAGGCAGTGCATCGCGGTGAGTCAGCGAATGAGTCAGTCATTCCCAAGCTAGCTAAAATACAGTAGGAAGCGATTGAGTAATTGCCATTTGAACGTCGTTAAATTCTGCCGCTCTCATTTGTCCCCGCAGCCCGTCCTACCCCACACGGCCGTGTGTGTGGTGTGTAAAGAGGCGGGGAAGGAGGACACCCTGGAGGACGAAGAGGAAAAGTTCAACTTCATGCTAATGGAGTGCTCCATCTGCAACGAGATCGTCCACCCCAACTGCCTCAAGGTACGCAGAGCCTCAGCCGGATGGTTCCCATGGTGACTCGTTTTTGCTGGAGCAGCGTCCCGGGAAGGCCACGTCATTATGACATGACTCAGCCCTTTTACACTGGAATCTGGAGTTAGTTTATACAGAGATTGTTTTCTGTTGATGAAACCCGCTGCTCTTACTCATCTGATTTTATGTGATTTCATTTTAGTTTGACTTTTCAGCCTTTAAGCTGCGAGGAAAACACTAAACCTGTAATAGTTTGGAAGTCGACTGCCAAAGAACAAAAGCTCTGCTTGTGGAGTCAGAAACATGTCGCTGCTGGTCCAGACGTGAGCAGACCCGCTTTTTAAGGCCCTGCTGCTACTTAAGCCGACTACACAGAACCAGAATGTCAGCAGTGTTTTCATTTTATTAAACAAATGCAGTTGAAAAAAAAAATAGCTGTCATAAAAATGTTTTGTTAACTTGCACAGTGCAGCTTAAGACATGCAAGTTCCTCATGGCACCTAAAAGCCACTTCCTCTTCATGTAGATGGCGTGGCGATCTGGACGGACCCTCGCTGCTGCTGCTGCTGCTGCTGCTGCTGCTGCTGCTGCAAGATCATTATTTGCAACAGAAATTAAAATTCCTGGGCAGGGAGGATTGTAGTCACAAATGTTGCATAACCTTTAAAAAAAACGAAAAAGACAACTTCAAATTGTTAATAAATATCTACTTCAGGAAATTTGTCATTTTGGAAGAGCCCCACTTCATTATGTTGTATAGGTTTTAAAATAAGAAAAAGTTTAGCAGAAAAGAAGGTGGATACATTTCCTTCTGTGGAATGAACATACTTTGCAAAAATACCTGTTTAAACTGGTATTTGTTAAATTTATATTCAAAACTAGTTTATTTATCGTTTTAAGGCAGAATTATTAGGAGTCGTTGCAAACGCCTGCTGTCTAGGGAGATGAATCATAGGAAATATATGCGGTAAAAAGAACTGCATGTTGCTTTATCTTGTTATATCTGCAAGGTAGATGGTGGTGGCAGCGTCATGCTGTGGCCAAGAAGCTGGTTAGGACTGATGAACGACTTTTGGCTACGTGTCACTAGTTCTTTTATGTTAAAGAATGACGGTACATGAATTTACATTTTACAAAAATTAGTTCAATACTTTCTTGCAAAAATAATAAAAGTAAAAATGAAAGCAATCAACTTTTTTTTTTATTCAGGTTTGCACAGATGATCAACTGACATGCTTGTTTGCTTAATATTTTCTTTTTTTTAAATATATATACAATAATTCAGGTTGAACAGCGCTGACCGGCCTGACGAGCGCACATCGCAACAGTCACTTTCACTTTCCATGAACTCCCTACGTTTTGGACTCTGTTAAGGCTTGTTGTGGTTGAAATCCTACTCCCTTTTTTTATTTATTTTTTTTCTCTCTCTCTTTCTCCTGTCAGGTGAGCGACGCCTCAGGTGTGGTGAATGACGAACTGCCTAACTGCTGGGAATGTCCCAAATGCAACCACGCAGGCAAAAGTGGAAAAGTGAGTACAATCATGCACGAGCCGAAGGCTGCACACCGAGTCTTAATCTTGCAAGGTTTTGATAACACTTTGTGAAGTTACCTTAACGATAAAGAGAAGAGTCGCTTCCTCTTTCAGTATATCTTTTTTATATATGATAATCTTCATAACTTCCTGTTAATTCTGCCGTGCATGAAAGTCCTTCACATGACTGTATCGGACAGAGGCAGGAAACCCCTGACAACCAGAAGTGTTTCTTAAACCTTAAGCACAGATAGTTAAATATCAAACAGGGTTTTCCAGTCACAATAGGCTAAAGGTATAAAGTCGCCTCCACTGTTTTTGTCCCCTTTGGTATTGAAGCAAAAAAGGGGCCCCGGGTTCAAGTACGCGTCCAACCTCCCCGGCTCTTTGCTGAGGGAACAGAAGCCCGCAAAGGAGGAGGGGGACCTTTCCTCTGCGACGAAGAGGAAGCCGGACAGAGACGAGACGCCAAGATACAGAACCGAGGAGGCTCTCCATCGGCAGCCGCCGCTGCTGTCCCCCAGCGGCCTGCCGAGGCCCAGACCCGAGGACAAACTGAGGAAGAAGAGGAAGCTTTTTGATGATGATGACGAAGAGGAGCTCACTGTGAGGAAGAAGGTTGGTTTAACTGCCAGTGACTTGCAGTTCCTTGCAAAACTATTCAGATCCATTTAACTTTTACAAGGCGGCGGATTAGAATTGGCATCATTGCAGCTGCAAATGAGTCCTTGAATGCTGTATTTTCTGGGCTCTTTTATTTTAGGAGCCATGAGAACTTTAAAGTTGGTTTGGGTAATAAAGCAATCACAAACCCAGAGCTCGGGTGGGGAAAATGTCAACATGGCAAATATTACATTCGAAATGTGGATTTCATGGAGACTTGGCAGAAGAAAAGTCATAAGTTTTGTTGTTTTTTTTGTTGTTTTTTTTTCTGCAGTTTGCCACAAACTATGTAGGCGACATAAGCAAACATGTGGAAGAAAGTCATCTGGTAAGATGAGAACTTTATAGTCCCTCTTGTACAAAAAAAATAAATAACTGCACATCATAATGTGAGATGCTTCTGTTCATAAGGGAACGGCTGGTTCCAGCCTGTCGGAGGTAAATACAGGACAGACCAAGTGCCGTATCAGTCACAGGCTGTAAAAACTTAAAACTGGAGTGGATTTTACATAAGGAAATGACTCGGACAAAACCTAAATGTATTAATTGGCCCAGTTAAAGTCCAGATCTCAATCGGTTGATGATCTGTTGCAAAATAAAATTGACATTGCACACTTTACACTGGAACTGGAAGACATTTTAAATGTCCCCCATAAACAAACCCAAAACAAATGAAGACAGCAAATAAAAAGGGAAGAAAAACCACACACAACCGATAACATAAAAAATAGTTTATAAAGTCTCTGAACAAAATCATCCTTATGAATTGAATCATCAGAATGGGAATTATCAAGCTTATTTTAATTTATGAAATTAATTCAGATTACTGTGACTCCTAAGAGTTTGACACTAAATGACTCTTCGTAACTGTTGCTAAATCTCTCTTCTGCAGGACAAGTCAGACGATTCGTATATTTCCAAACTTCTCCCCCAAGTAAAGACGGAAAAGGAGGAGGAAGATGATGATGACGACGAGGAAGGTGGAAGGGAGCATGCTTTCCGCAGCGGCGTGGACAGGAAAGGGCGCTTCGGAGAGGCTGAAGAGGAAGGGGACTACAGGGACTCCAGAAACGACTCGTTGAATTCGTCCATCAAAACCCCACTTGGAGACAGCGACCACTCTCTCTGCAGCTCTCCACAGGCCGGCCCCAGCAGCGAGGGCGGCAGCGAGACGCAGGAAAGGGGGCCCCGTCCGAAGGCTCGCCGTAAGCGGCGTCTGCCCAACAGGGAGCTGAGCCGAGAACTGAGCAAAGCACTGAACCAGGAAATCCAGAAGACCGAGGACTGCCTGGCCAACGAGAACAGGCAGCCGCTCAAGGTGGAGCCGGAGACGGAGAACGAGGAGCCAAAGAAGCTGTTCCGCAACGGTAACGAACTCGGCGACCAGAGGTCTCATCTCAAGACCAAAGAGATGAACGGGAACACCTGGGATTTGCGCCACTTTTACCCAAGTCAGATCACTCCTCTGGGCTTCAATCGGAGCACCCCGACCACGCGGCCGGTGCCGCCGCGCTCCCCGCCCAAGTGCGTCCAAATGGAAAGGCACGTAATCCGGCCGCCTCCGATCAGCCCGCCTCCCGACAGACTGCCCCTGAAAGACGGGAAAGCACACATCCTCCAGCGAGAAGTCTGGATGAAGATATTCAGCTACCTGTCACACCAGGAGTTGTGTGTCTGCATGAGAATCTGCAAGACGTGGAACCGATGGTAAATGCAGAAGCTTCTCTAACTCGAGCTGATTTCTTTCTTTTTTCCCTTTTTTTTTTCGCAGTTATAAAATGCAAGAAAGCTGAACATGAAAATGCTGTCTTTTTATTTGATGGTGGTTGTACATTTGAATCAGGGAATGAAAGGAGTGCAAGGCTAACTACAGGTGATTGCAGAGGCACAATAAGAGAATGTTAAAACATTTTCCAATCTTTTTTTACATTTGAAATTCATTGAAGATAAATTTTATCTCACAAAATGGGTGAGATTAAATGATTGATGCCCCCTGTTGATTAATACATCACCAAGTTAAATGCTGAGTAATAACTGTACATGTTCCAGATGTTGTCGTATGAATGTCTGAGCCTGTGCTCTGCTTGGACCTGATGTGTCACAGATTTTTATTCCTCTATTCTTCCTGTGACCAGGTGTTGTGACAAGAGACTTTGGACAAACATCGATTTAAACCGCTGTACCTCCATCACTCCGCTCATGCTAAGCGGGATAATCCGCAGGCAGCCGGTCTCCCTGGACCTCAGCTGGACGAACATTTCCAAAAAGCAGTTGAGCTGGCTCATTAACAGGTTACCAGGTACTTGGATATGTGGCGCACACATAATGTAGAGAATAAAGGTGTCCTTTGTCTTTTCTTTTCTGGATCAGTGATGGAAAATACGGTTGTAACTTCCAGGTCTGCGAGTGTTAAAGCTGTCGGGTTGTTCCTGGGCTGCTGTCTCAGCACTCTGCACGTCCAGCTGCCCCCTGCTGCGCACTCTGGATGTCCAGTGGGTGGAGGGTCTCAAAGACGCACAGATGAGGGATCTCCTTTCACTGCCCACAGACAACAGACCAGGTGCAGTACAAGAAACTCAGATTAGTCTCATTTGGAGCACCATAAATCATAAGCACATTATGGCGAGTGTGAAGAAGAATTAATCTTCTCAGAAATTTACAGAATAGTGTGAATTATATTAGTTCTACCCACTAGGAAGGAAATTGTCAGTAATAATTAGCTAAGGTGCTAACATTAGCATGGTGGATAACAATCAAGTTTGTTTGTATGTATAGCACATTTCAGACAATGCAGGTCAAAGTGCTTCGTATCATAAAATAAAAGATCATAAAACACCAGATTACCGGCATGTTGACCCACACTAACATACTCCATTCAGTATGTGGGGAAACATGCTAATGTTAAAATTAGCTAAAATTCTATCATATGGGTTATCACTAGTGTGTTACATTAACTCACCCAATTCATTAAGTTTAGCTTTTAAATCAAAAATGGCTAACATGCTATTTTCTCCTAAAATGCTAATGTTGGCTTAAACAGTATCAAAATCAAATCAAGTTTGATTTGTATAGAACATTTCAGCAGGAAGGCATTTCCAAGTGCTTTACATCATAACAAACACAAAAACTTGACTATCAACAGTCAAAACACGACATTAAGTCAAGCTCCATCATTAAATTAGTAATTGATTACGTTTTGTTAGGTCTAAACACCTGAACACAGACACAAAGAATAGACAGGAGTCAGAGTCTTAGTTTTTACCTGCAGGGAGAGCACAGCTGAAACTCGGTTACAGATTCTCGGTCAACTGGGCCCCCTTTCTGCTTTTATTAAAATTAGGAACGCCCTGGTTACATGCCGGGTGTGCAGTCCTAAAGGGGCGGGGTGCAAAGCACAGCTGCACACTCAAATGCACAGAACTTAATTATACGACCTCCAAAAACATATTTCATAAGACAAGAATATCAGTTTGCAGTTCCTCAGGATAATGAGTTCTGGAACGGGACGTTCATGGTACCCTCCTTTTTACTCCTCAGCAGGACGCTTCTCACAGCTTTTTATTCTCTGCGAACACTTCCAAAACACTTAAAGCACACCATCAAAATGTAAATACAAAGGTAAATAAATGAATGATAATATAAGATAAAGATAAAACAAATAAATGATAATGAACTAAAAATTCTTCCAACGTGTTTCAAATACAATTCTAAACAGGTGGGTTTGTAGTTGAGATTTAAAGGAAGTCAGTGTTTCAGCTGCTTTACAGTTTTCTGGAAGTTTGTTCCAAATTTGTGGTGCATAAATTTGTAGATATCACCATGACCTACACTAATGTACTCAATTCAATATGAATGAAGCCATGCAACAATATTTTATCTAATACTGGCATTCTACACAGAAAGCCAGTATTTTTTATCTTGATGACAATTCTCACTGCCATTCTCCTTCTAGCACTAGATGTGAACTAATGCGTGCCGTACCAACAGGTCAGCTGGATAATCGCTGCAAGCTGCGGAACGTGGAGGACCTGCGGCTGGCAGGGCTGGACATCACGGACACGTCCTTGCGTCTCATCAGTCGACAGATGCCTCTGCTGTCCAGGCTAGACCTTAGTTACTGCAACCACATCAACGACCAGTCTGTGAACCTGCTCACTGCAGCAGGAACTACAACCAGAGACTCACTCACAGAAATCAACCTATCAGGTGAGACCTGCACTGGAACAGTGGCAGCAAATTCTGACGTGCACATTCAGGAAGCCTCGAATGAAGATTAACTTTATTTTGATGCACAGCCACGCAGAAGATGACTACATGATTTTTTTTATTGTTAAAGCCGCATTTTAGGGTGTTTTCATATCTATAGATTGTTTACTTCGGTCTGAATCCGTTTGTTCTCTTGTAACTTTTTTGAGTGGCTCAAATTCTTTCCACATGAAACTCCAGGTGAACAGTAATCACGATTGGTTAGATGTGTCCAAAAACACGAAGCAGATGCTGTGTTAGCTACTAACAATAATATATAATATCATTACTTTGTTTCTCAACGTAATTTTTATGAAGAATAATCTAAAAAGTATACCGAATGATTTTGAGATTTCTTGAAAGTTGCATAGAACTTTATGCTACATGGAAAAAGTCCCTCCACCACCATTTATTAACTTGTTTACTGCGACGCAAACCTGGCTACGGGAAGCCGTTTGGCTCAAGTTTTCAGAATGTATCTGGGAGCTGCTGGATCCCATTCACACCATAACAGAACCGCTCTGCAGTTTGTTTGGAAATGCACCAGACCACGTCGTCCAAACGGTCTCAGAACACTTTTTCACCTCGACACAAACAAAACCAAACCAGTTTGCTTTGAACGGACTCAGATGCGACACTAAAATTACACAATGTTCTATCTGATTTGGGGGGAAAAAAAAGTCTAAATATCTTATTCGTAAAAAAATTGAAATGTGTTAACTTATTTTCTTTCATGTAATAAAAAATGAATCCTAAATTGCGGGACATGTAAGTTTATGCTCGTCACTTGTACAAACTTTAGAACACACAATTTTCTCACAGAATACCAAAGTGGTGTACATCAAATATTTTTCTTATTAGATGGGTAATCAGAACTTCTTCAGGCTCAGATATAGTAAAATAACTATAAAATCTCCTACATTAACAGTCTGACTGACTAACAGTGGCCCACAGTGTGGAGTTCTGTGTTTTATCTCTTTACATAAAGGAAGTTGGGAAATCCATATGTTTCTCTCCGTTTTTTGAGCTCGTGATCTGAAAAGAGGGAACCGAAACCTGGGGGACTGAAATGTAGCTTCTCTACAAACAGTTGCCAGCAGTTGTTTTTTTATTTTTAAGCTAGAACTGTACACAAAGTTGTCTGTCTGACAGGTTATTTGATTAAAAATAGGATTACGGTATGAGCTTCCTTTTCAGAAGTGCCTGGAAAATGAAGTATGGATAACCTCCATTCCCTACTCTACTTTATGAAAGTTGTATATAGTAGTAAGTCCGTCTGTAGTTTTTGTTGTTGTTGTTGTACAAATCAATAAGGAGCTCCTGTATTTATAGTTTTGAAATGCAAAATGTGAAAAGAACATCAGCCCCTTGATTAACACAAAACTAACAACCGTTCTCCGTTCCTCCCACTATATTCTAGTTTGTAACAGAGTCACGGATCATTCATTGAACTATTTCAAGCGCTGCGGCAGCATCTGTCAGATCGACCTTCGCTTCTGTAAGCAGGTGACCAAGACGGCCTGTGAGCACTTCATTGCAGAGATGTCTGTGAGCGTCCCGTTCAGACTGAAAGAGGACAAGCTGCTGCAGAAGATAAGCTAGTTTCCATCGGGACAAAAAAAAAAACAAAACAAAGTTTTCAGACTGTTTTTGCACTTAAACTACACGTCCTGTGATAAGTCTCTGAATCACTGTTGTCATAGAATACAATGAGAGGGAATTCAGTGGATGGTGATGTTCATCGGACAAAAAAGGTTGCATGTGTTTCTTTTTATATTTTTACTTTTATAAACATGTGGTTGTATTTGAGTTATTTTTATTGGGTTTCGTTTCATTTTTGAACATATTTTTGTACAAGCAAAATCCTTCATGTTTTTTTCTTTGTTTCTGGAGCCCAAATATCAGACTCTCATGTCATTTTCAACAGAACAACTTAGCTTCCTTTTTCTTTTTTTTTTTACTTGTGTGCCAAAATCCATGTTTGACATCGACGCTTCAGCATACAGATAAGAAAAGCATGCATGTGCTGTGATTTAATTACCATAGCTACATTAAATAGATAAATTTCAGAGAAAGCGATAAATTTCATATTTCTGTTACACCCTTGGATGTTTTACAAGACTTTTAACTGTGGGGCGTTTTGTTTAGCGGTTTCCAGCAATCTCTCAATATTAATTTATTGATTTATATTTTTATTACAGTTTGTATTTATTTGTTTTTTCAGTGACTTGACATAGGTGTCTCACATAGTTGGTTCAAATGATGCGTGTGAATAATTTATCGGGGTGGCTGGAGCTCTTCATCTGCCACCGGGTTTGTGTTTTGGTGCCCAAAAGTCAATTAAAGCCAATCTAACAGTGGCTTTAAAGCAGGCAGCCTCACACAGCCATAAGGGCAACTAATTATGACCTCTGCAAGTTATTTGCATACATTTAAAAATATACTTCATACAGTCGGTGTTGTATTTTTGGGTGTTGTGCTGTAAATTTCTCGCCTCAGGTGAATGTGATTATGTTTATACATGTAAATCAAAAAAGAAGTGCTAATTTGCATTAAAAGAACTTAATTTGTATCATCATCGAGACTTTTTGACTTATTAATGATGCAAGCAGTTTCTCCCCATCAGAAACTGCTGAGGCTCATTCGATTAATTCGATTTTCCAAAATCTCGATCTGGACTTTTAAGCCGCTAACTGGCTCCACTCATCATTGTTCAACTCTTCCTTAAGTTGTTTCCGCTGTTCCAAGTTGTTCTTGGTTTGTGGCGCCAGCACCACTGGCAGTGACCCAGTCCCTCAGCATGATGCCGCCGCAAGCATGCGTGACAACCTTTCAAACAAACTTACTGTCATCGTGTCCAAAATGCCTGAACTTTTGTCCCGCCGCCATATTTGAGCGATGCGTGACGATCAACGAGCTTCCAGTATTGGCCTGGACTTAAAATGCACGGACTATTTTCGAAACGTGCTCGGAAAACCAACCGGCTTTGTCAAAACCGGAACAGTGAAATCCAGCGAGAGTTGCGCCAAAACGTGGCTGAGATTCCCACTCAAAGTGCGCGGTTCATCTGGAACTTGCTGTGGTGCGCTTAATGGCCGAGATCTGACTCATTAGTGCAGCCGATTAATGGTAAATGTGAGCAGCTGTCGGAGCAAGCTGTGGATTAGTAGGTTTTTTATGAAGGCGAACCGAGCAGGAGAGATCAGGGAGGTCCTGCAGCTTTCGATGTCTGCTGGGGAGTCGATTTACAATTTGATCTCTCATGTTTCCAAAGTTTCCTCATTTCCCTTTTCGAGAAGGAGAGAGAGAGGGAGAGAAAAAACCCCACAAAAGACAACACGTTTCATTTGAAGGCATAGAAAGCAAAAGGTTGGCAAAACCTCAAACTGCCAGGCGCGGTGCTAGAAGGATCATGAGCAGGGGCGCCGCCAGGAATCTTGGGGCCCCCTGACATAAAAATTTAGATTGCTCCCCCCTCACACCCACGCAGCTGCTGTCACAACTTTTCAAGTCTGTTTGACTCTCTGTTCTACACTTCTAAGATTATCAGAAAAATACTGTCAATTACAAACTCGTGGTTAAACAAATTAAATTGACAAAAAGTGCAGCGTGGATTTTTTTTGTTTTGTTTCTGAAACAAACGACTTTATTGAAAAGCACAGGTGTTTCTTGCAAGTCATGCACAATAGTTAAAAAAAAGACATTAATTAAAATCTTTTAATTTACCATAATATAAATGTCAACATCTGCAAATACAAAGACCACACCTTGTACATGATTATACCTTCTGTAACAGAAATGTGCAATTTGCTCCGGACATCTGCACTGTGACAGCAGCGAGTGTACTTTTTTTGTTTGTTTTGTTTTTAAGCAGGGGAGGGAGATACTAGAGAGAGAAACGATGTAAAGCTTCTTGTTATGCTGTGGTTCAAAGAAAAGCTCGAGCCAACCAAAACATTTCCAACACATTTCAGGCCACGTCACAGAACACAATCCTGAAAAAATAAACATTTTCGCACACAATTCAAACCAAATGGAAAAATAGAGCTATGTACATCTTATACAGACTGATATATGTACAAGTCATTATCTGGATATACTTTCACATCACTCAAATGGTTTCATTAGTCATCTTATATATGACAAACGTAATAATAACGATAATAATAATAATAAATTACATTCCAACAACTTAAGAAAATGTAAGCTTCACGTGAAAAACGTCTGCTAGAAAACAGGGAAGATGATCGGATGAGTTAGCACCAGTTTAGTTTGAGTCTCCTGTTCGCGGACTGAGACAGGACAAGAGGTGACGGAGGTCAGCCGTTGCTGTGATGAGGACCTTGCATGAACGCTGGAACGGGTAACGCACTGAAACAAGCACTTGTTTCACGACGGAGGAAATCGACGCAATTAATAATGCATCGGCCTCACAAAGCACAACCATGAAGTCAGATAATCGCCAGAGCGTGTGCTCCTTTGAGGGCTGCACGGCGCCACATTTAAAACGGCAAACATTTCAAAAGAAAAAAAATATAGAATTAGCGTCTCTCATCAGGCATTCAGGAAGAGGCGCGCATTATCGAAGCAACCATTAGCTGTCGTGAGGTGCGGTGGGGTTGTGAGTGGTGCTGCATTAGCGTGGAGCGTGGGCAAAGTGCTTTCCGTCCCAACATGCTGAAACATTAACAGTGTCATCCCACAGCGGAGGGAAGAAGATGAGAAAAGAAGCAACAAGGCGACTGCGTCGTTTGGCACCTACCTTTCACTCCTCTGCTGAGATTCAGTGCAAGTCTGTACTAAGATATGTGTTCGCATGTGGCAGCAGGTAAAGAGTCGTAGATCTGAGGAGGAGCTACAGTTCGCAGGCAGAAATGAGGAATGGGATGTTTACAAAACAATAAAATCTGCCCCGCAACCTTGGCTTTGAAATACTGTAAAAAAAAAAACAACAACAAAAAAAAAACTACCTGGTCGACCAAAGTCAAATTCTCCCCCCCCCCCAAAAAAAAGACAGAAAGAAAACATTATTTTTCTGTGTGCGAATGACCATGAAGACTCTCGTCAATATAAAGATCTGAAAATAAGTTTTTTTTTTTTTTTTTTTTTGTAGGATTCAAACTTTATGAGCTGCATTTCTGAATTGGGGGGTTTTGAGTCAGTGGTGCATTAGCATTTAAAAACGTGCACAGCTCTCACGACGTACTGCCTGCATATCGGACACTGGTTCATTCTCTTGCCGCAGTCGGTGCAGGTGACCAGGTGACCGCACTCCAACAGGACGCAGTCGATCGCCGCGTCCATGCAGATCCTGCACAGGTTGTCGTCCTGGAGCGTCAGAGGACACTTTTCACCGTCTGGAGACGTGAAGGAGGAGAAATGTGAGGTGAAGAAAAATAAATAAATAAATGAGGGCATAAATAAATGAAGCCTTAGGCAATAAAATTTATTTAACTACATTTTAGCACCTCACTGAAGTGCTTATTGCCCCTTTGCAGTTTTTCACAACTTGTTACCTTACAGCCAGGAATTTCAATATGTTTTATTTGGAAATACAATCTATAACACATTAACAATTAGGGTGATATTGCACAGCCTGTGATTGGATCTGAGTGCAGAGAAAGAAGAAAATTGGTATTTGGTCTCGAAATTCTTTGTCGTGATAAAACTTCGTGGCAACAGTGTTGAAAAGCCAAATGAATTCCAATCAAATCGAGTCGCATCATTTACGGTAAAATACACAAGCTTATTATTATTACTATTGTAATTAAATTAAATCCGTTGCAACCAAGAGTCGTGTGAAGGTCCCAGACGTGTATCAGAAAAATTCTGTGAACATGAGGTCTGCATTATGTGCAGCGTTGAAACTCCACTGCACGACTCTGCTTTGGTTTTTGTCAGTTCCTTATGCAAAATCTCAAAATGCATTTTACATTTAAGGTTGTGAAAGTGCTACTATGAATGTTTTCTAAAGGTTTCTGTGTGCATGTTTTTGCGTATGGTCCAAAATATTAATTCCAGCCGTGGCTCAGCATTCTTCTTCGGCAGTGTAGTTTTACTGAAGACATGCTGCTTTAGAGAGCAGGCGCCTCGTGATCAATGAGATTCTCGGACGATCAACACAAACAGCGACGGAGGGAACCTGACTGCAAAGCGCAACACAAAATCAAAACGGCGTGAATTTGTGTTGATAGGCGAAAATAAATGAATATTTACTTTCCCCAGCAACACAACAGTAAATACCGTTGAGCAGGATGAATGGCACGGATGGATAGCAGATGAAGACGGGTTCAGAACGGACACATGCGCAGCGAGAATGCGGCTTTGCTCACACGATGGAAGAAGCCGGGAGGAGGTGGAACACCTGACCACGGCGATAAGCTGTAGCCTTACCTCCGATGGCCCCGTTGCAGAGAGGAGAGGGGAAGGCCATCACTTTATAGCGGGAGGAGTAAAGGAAGCATGCGATAAGTTTATCATGACTTCAAAAGAAAAGCTATACGAATAATCCTTTTTTAAAAAAATCTGTGTAATTTATGGCAAGATCATGTTACCACCTACAGGACAGAATGTCAGCAAGAGAAAAGATTAGTGAAGTTTCTGTGGTTAAAAACAGGATCCTCCCAGCCAGTGCTGATCATCAAAGATATCTACACTGCAAAAACATAAATGCCACTTGCCACAGCGGCCCCCTGCGGAGGGGAATATTTAACTACATGTCACGCTGAATGTCCCATTTTCAAAATCTGAATCACTTATCATTTAAAAGTCAAAATAAGGTTGCAGGTTTCTGTGTGCTGCAGTGCGCATGAAATTTGGCAAGCTGTTCCTGTGGAGCATAAAACCTGATTGGTCAATGTGCCCAGGAAACCAACGTTTCAGGCCAATCAGCTTGAGAAGAGCAGGGTACAAGTGCAATCTGGAAAGTATTCGCTGCACTTAGTTTTTTCCACATTTTATCTTAGAGCCTTTAATATAACATGACATCCAGCTTTGATAGATTACAGAAATGGCATTTCTTGGTTTCCTATTTTTGTTAAATGTGCAAAAACAAAAACCCTCTCTCTTTTCCCCACATTGTTTGTATCTGGGAATTTGTGTGTAGGACTTTGAGGAAAGAGGTTAACCCAATCGACACAACTTGGAATAAAGCTGCAACATAAAACGTGGAGAAAGCGAAGCGCTGTGAATCCTTTCCAGATGCACCGCGAGTGACAAAATAACGTTCATGATGTGGAATAAATTAAATCAATTATAGTGAGATAACTGCATATGAATTAACAATTAGACATAGATTTTTGTATATGTTTTGCATTGAAACAAACAACCAATAAGATGTCAGGAAATATTTGACATTATTTCATCACTTGTTTGGCACATTGTGATTTAAATAAGTTGCTCTTTTTTTTTAACTAATCCACCATAAAATCTAAAAAAAACATGAAAATGACTAACTATAAGAAGCCCCTTTCTGCCGCTAATATGATGTTGAATAAGGAAAGTTGTGTGACCCAAAGCCAAGTAAACACCTACCTGTATTTGTATTCTTCTCCTTTTCGCTGTACAATCTATTGACACGCTCCACCAGCTCCCATTTTTCACAGCACCCAGAATAGTTGACGAAATTCCTTGCCAGGATTTCCTTCAGCTGCCTGACTGACAGGCCCTTGATGTCCCCCACGCTAGAGATGTCAGAGACGGATGCTCCGGCTCCACAGCGTGTCTGAGGACTCGTCTAAAAAAAAAAAAAAAAAAAAAAAAAAAAGCATATTAGAAAGAATAAAAAAAAAAAATCTGGATTTGAAATCTGTTTTTGGATTGTGACAAGTATGAGCCGGATTACATGGATCACCTGAGGAGTTTGTTCCCTGGAGTCCAAGTTAAGGAGCGACACTGGCGTGGTCTCATCTGAATCCTGCAGGAAAACAATGTTCAGTCAGGAACATGGCAAATTACAGTGGATTAGGGTTACACACTCCTTCACCCAGGTCATTGGGTGACCTGGAAACAAAACTGAATCGTACTTTCCATTCACAGACAAGACTACAACTCCACAAGCGGGCCATGTGCAATTATTTACACAATTATTTACAGCGAATCCCGACAGTTCAGAGGTTAGCTGTGTCTGCAAAGTGATCAGGCTCCCTGCTTGGTTTCTCACCTGGTTGGTTTCAAGACTTTCGCTCCCGCTGAGCGATTCCTCGAGGGTGGCAGCAGACAGCTCAGAGGCAGGCGGTGTGATGGAATCTGCTAGCGCACGATGAATATGAGAGAGGAGGCTGGCTGTGTTAGGGTCCTCCACCTCGTCATCGTCATCATCTTCATCGTCTTCCTCCTCCTCCTCCTCCTCCTCGTCCTCCACCTCAAAAGCCTGATGACAGAGGACCAAATCGACCAGGTCCTCCTTCTCCCTGCAGGTGTCAGTGGAGATGTTCCGCAGCAGCAGATACTGACGCAGGTCCCTCACTCGCAGACGCATGAGCCGCGGCCGATGGAACGCCGTGGCCTTCAACAAATGGCAGGTGGCGCAAATGCGTAGGCTCTCCAGAACCTCAGTGCACAGCGAGCAGAAGCTCTTCTTGCAGTCGCAGCAAGTGTACTGCAGCGGGAAGGAAACGACAAGCTGGGGTGACGGAGGAAAGGCAGACGGACGATTTCACAGAGGTTTAACGAGTCGCGCATCGGAAAAATTAAGACAGAGCACATTGGTGCAAGGTGAAAACACTAAGCTGGAAAATGTAAGACATCTAAACCGTTACTGCAAGTTAGGGCTCTGTGACATAGCTTCAGTGTAAAATCTTGGATTTTCAAATCACATTTTTTGTCTTGCTTTTTTTTACGACAGAAAATATTTGCAAAAAGTGACTTATTTCTATCATCTCTACTGTGAGTTACACGATGGATCATTAGGCTACAACAATTTTTGTGTAATTACAAGTTTCGCCTGGCGAATAAAGATGCAATTTTTCCAGGAGAACGTCTTAAAATTTAGAAAAATAATTTTATAGAAAAAAACAAAAAAAAAAACAACTTCTAGAGTTATGAAGGTCTGATGAGACCAGCACAGTCTGTGTAATTTATTTGAAATATTCAGTTGTTTGCTCGATTGTTTCAAAGTTCTGTTATTGATAATAATTTGATGCTAATGCATTAAAAGATTAAGTACTTTCTTATCTACAAAACCAAAACACAAGACGCTAAAGATTCTTCATTTTAAATTTTATGTTTTTTGTATTGGATTTCTCATAAAATGGCTACGTTATTCTTGTGTTATTACAACTTTATTCTTGTAATTGGGGGGGAAAAAAAATGTCACCAGGCCCTAATATTCGGTCATAAATTTAAAGTCTATGCATGGATTTGTTTGTTTTTTCAATTTGCTCACAAGGATAAATACTTTTTGCTTTCTCTAAAACTCTAAAACCCTTTCTTCCGTTTTTGTATTTATGTATTAATTTGTATATATATATTTTTTAATATGAAGACCCATTATGAATCCAGACAGCGCTCCAGAGTGCATTAAATAGCCAAGCCACGCTGCAGGACACATATGCAAAACCCTGTAACGGTCATATTTCATGATAAGCTTTTCACAAACGTTTGAGATAACAGACTGTAATGTCATGGTTAGAAAGCAAAATCCACAGGTGAACAAAATTCATAGGAAAATGAGGAAAACATGAGGGAGAAAAATAAAGAAACAGCATTTAAGAAAAAACTCACTTTGAGACGAGACGGATTGGGAGTGTTGGATGAACATAGAGGGGGTCCGTGTGAGACTGTCAGGGTATTTACCCTAAATCTGATCTTTTCAAAATCTCTGAACTTATTCATTCCAGTTCTAAGCTCTTAAGTTAAGTCCAACACAACTAATGCACAGTTAACATTTAGAAAATCAAAGTGTTTTGTGCAGATCTGTTAAGTTTCTTCACAGCTGCAATCCATGACAAATGCCTATAGTACATATTTTAGATTTTTTGTTTCCTGCTCCAACACATTAGAGCAATTAAAACAAGGCTGGAAGATATAGAAAAAAAACCCAATACTGTTAAATATGGCAAAGATGATATCAACTCTGATAAATTCAAAATTCCCTTTCACACAAGCCTGTTTGAGCTTTTTTGTCTCAGTCACTCAGCAAAAACGTCTATTAAGGAAAATAAACTAACCCAGAAATTGTAGCTGTTAGTCTTTACTTTTGAGTCATCTGTGATCTTGGTATTATTCATTTATTGCTTAAACATTTTGTGAGCAGATTTAGAAAGCATGACAGAAAAATCTTTTTCAGTGATCAGCTTCTCCCCCCACCCCCAAAAAAAAAAATCTGTTGATAACCTTAAAGTCAGTTTTTTTATACGACCCACATTTTTGAGGTGGACGGGAACCTGCAGCATCTCAGGAGACCCACCTTCCTCCTGAAGACTGAGAAGGCCTGTCCACAAGCCTTACAGACAAGGCCGGGGTTCCCTGAGCTGTTGGGCGGGTACGTGGAATATCCCGCGCTGGGGGCGAACCTGAAGGGGCCGGCACCGGCACCAAACCCTGGCTGCTGGCCTCGGACGGCCCCGGTACCCATGACTTCATTCAGCAGACCACAGCATGAAGCCCACACCGACGAAGCCCCAGCCTGGACACATGACAACATGGTTTTATCTCAAAGGTGAGTCACCGCATGACAGCTTTTTCACAAATGCGAGTGAGCGACGCTGCTTAGCAAGTAGGGGTATAAACACTGCAACCCCAAAAAACACCCAATGAGTTGCCCAGTGGAATTTTGTTTTGCACATAGTGACCATTTCACAAAGGAAAAAAAGAAAACAGCAATGCTAGCTTAAACAAGAGCTTACTATAACAGTCGCACAGCAGAACAACAAAGCATATAAATGAATAAGGAATGAAAATCACCAAAAACTCATTCACGCATAAGCGATGCATTTTAAAGGCTAAAGTAGCACCGGTGGCTGTGACTTCCGCCGGGGCTTCCGTTACGTTAGCCACCGTTAGGTAACTGCTGCTATGGACAACAGACACATTTAAAAAGTGCACCTTCATTGTAGCTCCGACGTTGCTACTGAGAAAAACTCGACACCCGGTGCATTCATTGCAAATAGGTAGGTCGCTTATTTAGCCAAACAGCCGCTAGTAACACGGAGACACCCCACTGTAAGTGCACTAACTCTCTACCGTTGCTATCCTGCTGCTGCTGCTGCTGCTTCTGGCTTCATTGGCAACTGTCAAAGCGTGCCGAAGGCGCATTAGCGCCTCCTTTTGGACTAAAAGAAAATCTATCTCCATTCTCTCAAGACTGCTTTCACAAAGTCAGTGTAAAATCCTCAAACTTTTAATCTCCAGTGATTATCAAATAGCACCATCTTCATCACCAATCTTCTTGGATTTTATGCAGCAGGACATGCTTATGTGGCCTTCTTTTGCTCAGGAATGGAAATGGGCGAGTTTTAAGTTAAATTAAAAGTAGACATTTCCAGTCCGAAATACCAAACAATTTAATATGACCGCCTTGATATGCAATATAGTGACGGTTCCTGACTGGGCTCTTTTGTTTTTGACCTGCTGGGTTGATGAAAGCATCTGTTCCAGAATAATCGGGGTAAACTAGAGAGGACAGACCCTTCTATAGTGATACATTACCAGGATCTGTCCTCCCATCTGCTTTAGAACAGCACATGCTGCAGAAATTGTGTAGATTCTTAACTTTCCCCACATGCTCGCAAATGTCAATGCTTGTGAATTCTTGCAGACAAGCAAGACACAGCAAGATACTGATAATCTGTGGCAGATGGTGATATTTTGACACATATAAGACCCTTTAAATCTGAAGAAACGTGTAAGTTAAGGTAAAGGAAAATTTTTAATCTCGGTAATTTACGCATAAATCCACCAGAAATGTAATTTTGTGTTTAACAGTATATTTTTGGTACAGAAGGCACAGGTTTCAGTTCTATTATGCAGAGTACTAATTAACGTTTATCCAGACAATGGGATTATTCCTCATATTAACAATGTCCACTTTAGGAAGCAGAAAAAAATTAATAGGTCTTCCAAAAGAGTGATTCATGACTTTGGGTGAAATGCAGTTTTAATGAGTTCACCATTTTTTGCCATGTTGTCTTTTATTTAGGAAATTAAAAAATAAAAATTAAAACACAACTCTAACCTAACAACTTATTCTTCACAGTTTCAGCAGATTAACATACATCAGGAACATAATTCCAAAACATAACTTTACTGACAACTAAAGTAAGGTGATGTGCCATTATAACACTGAACTCAATATGACCAGACTATAAACTAGTAACAGATGAAATTTCCAAGTACACATGGGACAAAGTAGGGTTTGTGGATTATTGCAAAAAAAAAAAAAAATGGAAATACTCAAAACTTTGGGTATTTTTCAGGAAGGTAATGAGAGATACATCAGTGTTTAGCAAAAATGTCCCCCTGATTTAAGTCACAGCACAAAATAACAGGCAAAGTGCCCTTAAGAAAGTTTACAGTGTATTAACAGAAATTAAGCCCACTTTTATCATTTCTTAACTATAATCTGGTCTGTCAAAATGTCCCACTGTTCTCCTACAGGCCAAAACTTAATTTTTCCAGGATGTGACCAAATCTTTGATCTTCTGTATATGACAAAAAAAGAAAATACTGTCTCTGTTGGCAGATCTTTCTCATAGCAGTCCGGCATGCGAGTCCTTCTGTTGAAGCTTGAGAATCAATTCAAGCAGGTTCATCTGCATCGTGAGCTCCTGCAGTCGGACACAATTGGTTGAAAAGTGTTTAGAGAAGATATGAATCTGCACCTGATGGATGTTTGACTGATTAAAAAAAAAATCTGTGTAGAGTGAATCAGAAAGAAATAATTTCACTGAATGGGTGTGCGAAAATATTTACCAGAGGATTAGTGGTGATGTAAAACCCTGGGACTCCTGCTTTCTCCAAGGTGTTCTGCTGGTCAGTCACTTTTTGGTCCATTTCTACAACAATCTTCTTATCCATCATCTTTTGCTCCTCGCGAACCCGAGCTTCCAAAGCCTGAAACCCATAAACAACACATATTATACACAACAGTCCTCGGAGTATACATAATAATCGAGGTTTTATTTCTCACCTCAAGTTCAGTTTGCTGGGTTGTCTTGAGAAGTGAAAGGTTGTGCGGCTTGCATGACTGTAATGCATCCTTGTGTTTTCGAACCAGATCTTGTTTGAGTGCTTGGCGAAAGAGAATTAAAAATAATTTGTAAGTTGCAGGCAAATAAAACGAAGCAAAACTCTTCAGGTCTTGAGAATTACACATGTATAGAAATGTGTTTTCGACTACGTTCTGTGCGACTGGTACAAACCTTGATGTTCACAGTGCAGCTTCTGCCTTTGATTGTACAGATTTTTTTCTGTCAGATGCTGAATATCCAGGAGGCCCTGCACAATCTCATAAACTGTGCCATCAATGAGGGCTAAAGCCAGGTCGCTCAGAGTGTTGTAGGTCAGCCGCTGCTGGAAGGAGCTGATCAATGGGGGGAAAAAACAAAACAAGTCATAAAAGTCAAATTTAAACCTGCGAGTGTTCTGACACTGCGAGTGTTCTGACACTACCCACAAGTTTATTGTGGGTAGATTTTAGCTTCGATAAATATTCTCAACAAACTACAGCTAAGTAAATTATGCTAGCTCGATTGAATTCAAGTCACTTTACTTGCTGAAATTATTCTGTAGTGAAGAAAAAATATTGTAAGGAAAAAAAAAACACACACCTCGGTAAGCCTTTGACTAAAGTTTGCAGTTCAGAAAGTAAGTAGTAATGTCTCTCCTGTAGTTTTGTTGAATCGCTGTCGGTGACTCCGGGGTATTCATCCATGTTTTAAATTCGACAACTGCTAGAAACGTTGATCAAAATAGATAACGAACTTTAGCAAGTTCAGCTAACCCCATTTTTACTGTTCATGGCTTAAACTTTCAGAAGGAACATCGCTGAAGTAAGTTACGACACAATGGGTATAAGCCATTATTTTTTTACGTTACTAAAACCCGAATAATAATAATTAAAAAAAAAGATTTAATATACCGAAACAGACTGCTTGCTTTAACTGTATTTGTGTTTAATCTCGGAGGACCCCACAATAGCAGCTTGTAAACCTGCCTGTCTGTAATTGCTGAGATTTTTCTTCTTCAAATTTGATGGTGCTTGGCAAACAGTGCACAAGAATATTGCCGCCCTCTTCTGGACAAGGTGTGGCAACATAAACCGGAAAAAAAGTTCCATAAACTATTAAAATGAGAATTGAATGAACCATTGCTTATGAATAATTTTTCCACATATCATCATATCTTTTGGAGTAATATAAACTTTTTTCTTCAACTGCTTTCTTTCTTTATATCTATATACCCAATCATGAGTGTTAGATTGGTTCATGTCCACTTTATGTTTGTCTGTAATTTGATCATTTTAATATATTATGTACATGAAATTGATTGACATTGTTGTTCCTTTATTTCTGTAATAGTTTGATATTCTATGACTTTGTTCCTTGATGTAGGACTTGACCTCGTTTTGATTCATGGATATTTTGTATCTCCGTTGTATGTTAATGAATTAATTACTTTAATTCATTTACTTATGGATACCTGGTAACCCACACTGGAACTTGAAAGATAAAAGCATAACAGCACATAATTTTGACTTTGAATTCTGACGTTGAACCTCATATTTATGACTGAAAATCTAAAAATAGGACTTTATATCCCATAGTTCTTACTTTGAAAGTCCACATTTTGGCATGAAAACCCAAAACTGTGACTTTGTAACGTGTCTCATAATTACAATTAAGGAATTATATGTTCCCAACAGCGCCCCCTGGAGCCCAAAGCGCTGATGTAGCAGCTGTTACTTGGTCGCTTTCAACTTTTGGCACTCAATACAAATGGTCGACAGATGGCGCTTTATATCAAAAGACAGGAGCTTCAAAATTATTGTCTAAAATGTATTATGACTATCATAGTCTACAAATAGTAGACAAATAATGTTACCTGAACTAAGTTGTAATTTTATCCTAAAGGAGTTTCTGACTAAGCAGAAAAAGAAGAACCGCGTCTTGTGGTTTTGTAAACAAGCTGTTAAACCCGTTTATTGTATTTTTTCCCCCCCTTATGAATACTACATTTAAACCCCATTAAAAGCTTTTCAGACTCACTGAGGCTCGCATTGTTCACTTCATCCACGGACTGAATTATTTGGTACAACCACGGACTGTAAAACCGATCACATGCTTTGATTACATGTGGGGTCGCGGGTAGGTCTGGACGGTGAAGCGCGCCCTGGTCGCGCGCTGCTGGTGGGCAGAGCGCCGTCACGAGCTGAAGGTGTCATGAAACGGAGAAAACTCACTCGCAGAAAGGCAGGGGGGCTACTTACACCAGCTCGCATGGCAACAGAAGAGATACTCGCCGGATAGATCAATTTGCCGGAGCGAAAATGGCCAAAAACACGTCTCTGTATTTTCGGATTGTCGAGGGCAGGAACCTTCCGGCCAAAGACGTGTAAGTAATTTCTGAATGGCACGTGCTTCTGTGTGGTAGCCTTACCTGATAAAATAACCCGTGACTAAAATTTGCTTTTTTGAGAACTCTATGTTGGTTTCTCATTTGAATAAATTAAAAGAACAACGTGTGAAAAACAACAACAAAAATAAACAAACAAACAAACAAAAAAAGCTATGTTTACCCGCTCGTATTGACCTGAGCATCATTGAAAAGAAAAATGTATTTTAATCAATTACTATGTGCTCTTCCTGCCAACGTTTTCTCCTAATTTTCAGATCTGGGACGAGTGATCCTTACTGCATCGTTAAAGTTGACAATGAAGTTGTGGCCAGGTGAGCTCTGTCCATTTCAATCAACATTGACATAAGGTTCCTGGGAGGAAAAAAAAACAAGTTTTCAGCAATCTAGTCGAAATGGTCTGAAACGTCATAATTCATTAAACGCTTATATGTAAGCATGTAATAAATCGTACGTGTAACATACAATGTGTATGTTACCCATGTGGAAGGAGTGTTCAAAACGCCCACAGCATGGCTCGTTCAACGCAGCGAGAGAACCTGATACTGCTCTGGCCTTTAAACACCCTTAGGTAACCATGGTGAGCATGCATCAATTATTGCAGGGGGCACCTGCAAGAAAAGAAAACACTGGGGAGATGAGAGAATACACCTTTTTGCAGGTGTCTTTGAGATTTAGAGATAATCTAAAAAAAAGAAAAGAAAAGAAAAAATGAAAACAAATTCAAGAACCTTAGTAAGGAAATGGGAAGTATGATTGTTGTTCCATCTGGAGTGTTGAAAACTGCTCAGTGTTTCACTGCAGGCACTCACATTCTCTTTCACTTGCTGTGTTACTGGGCAAATGACTCTTGAGTGTGATTTCCAAGCATGATGAACCTGCTAGATTGCGCTGGGAAATAACGGATACACAAAACTCTTCCTATGCTCATTATGACAGTGTTTTTTTTTCCCAGGCTGTCATTTGTGTTAACTTTTAATTATTGTTTGTTAGCTTTAAGCTTAAGACTATTCCTCGAGGAGAAAAGCTTCCATTTTGGACTAATTAAATATAACCTTTGACCAAAGTTGTTTTGACTTGAGACTATTGTGTTTATCACACTGCGGGAAGGCAACAATGGTTTTACTCAGGTTTGTAAATGAACCTTTATTGAGCATCTGAATCTATGCCTCTGAACATATCAAGAACTTTGTTATTTACGCCTCAATCCTTTCTCAGTCACATTGGAATGGTGAACTTGAAAGCTTTCTGTAAATCGAGCAAAGCTTCCACTTAAAGCTGCTGACAGTTTGCATCAAAATGACACATCATTATCAAAGATATAACATGGTTGTTATATGTTGTCTGATGCCACATGTCATTACTCGTTAGTGTAATTTTAAATCTTTCTGTTGCACCTCAGTCACCTTGTCTCACCAAAATATTCATACCCTTTGAACTTTTGAACATTTTGTCACAATACAACTCCAAACTTTAATGTATTTTGTCGATACGCTCATATTTATGCTGCTTAGCCTTCTGTTCAACAGCCCTTAGATTCACACTTCTAACCCCACGCACTTCTAGATTCAGCTGCAATGACTTGTCTCTGCATTGATATGCTCTAGTCTTTTTAGTTCTATGTCAGATCCTTCCATCAAGCTTTGAGTTTTTCCCCTCAAATCATTTTCTGTTTATGAAATATGAGTCAGCTTATGTTTATCGTAACCTATGTAGACTCTAGTGTACAGTACATAGGTTACTTGAAGGTGCTTTGAGTTAGTGGGAAAATGGATTAAAAGACAGATGATCCTTGAAGAAAACTTGTCAAAGCCTGCAAAGGACATGAAACTCTGATTAGCGCTAACATTTTATGGACTCGCGTACATTAAATATTAATTTGCACATTACTGTCAAGTCTTTTAGTGCCTCAAGTAGACCGACACTATTTTGCATTGGCCTGTCATATTAAATACAAATAAAATATATTGTATTGTTGTATAACTGTCTCATGAAGCAGATAATCAGGGATTTGTTCTTGTAAACATCTTCCCTGTTGCTTCTCTAGTTCAGTTTGTTATCCAGATGAACATTGAGGTATTTTTACTTCCACTTCTTCTTCCATGATGGAAATAATGTTTGACCTAACCCTGTTTCTCTGAAAATCGACAGTCTTCTCCTTTGTTGTTGTCACATTTACCATAAGACCTTCTTTATCCCTGAGCACACAGCTGTGATATGGTTCTGTTAGAACTTCCTCTCTAGCTTCTTCATGTATGCTTACTTATTTTCTCTGATCTTGACTTTAAGTTGCTTCTGTATGCTCCTCAATAGTCCCTTCCTGAAGGCTTTTTTTTTTCTTGTTTAGCAGTTTCTTCAGGTCACTGTTCGTCAAGAGTTTATTACTGGAGAAACATTTCACTTTGCTGGCTGGTATGATGTTGTCCATGCAGACGTTTATATTTGGTCACATACGCAGTAATGGCTTTGATTTCATCTCCACATGACTGGAATCACAGTCAGCAGCCTCACAGCAGCCCTGTGACCATTTTCTCATGGTTCTTTGTAACAGGCTGCCTCTAAACAATGGGTTTATATTTAAGACAAGAAGGCTGTCTGACTTGTCCAGTGAGGTTTAGAGATACTTAATTGCTACCAATTAGAGGTTTTTGCAGATTTATGCATCTCTAACTTTTGCATAAAAAAATTGTGTTTTATTTTCTTTGGATGAGGCACTGACAAAGTGAGGAAACTTTGTAAAGAAGCAGAATTAAAGTCTCCAGATATTTCCACAGAAGCACTGGAGTGTTGTGTCTGTTGCACAGCAACATCTGAACTGATCGTATCATTTACATTCTCCGCAACAGCTGATGGTGAGATTTAAGTGGTTTCCAAAATAAAACTTTTGAACTCTCTTGGTGAATAATATGAACAAAATATTACCGCTAACAATTTGCCACCTGGGCTGCAGAGATGACACTTCACAGTGACATGTCCTGGATTACAATACTTGTTGTTGATGATCACTGCTAATCCTCCTCCGTTGCTTTTGCCGCTTCTCGTTAGCTTCTCTTTATCAACCTGCTTTGCCGCTTCTCTGCCTGCTCATATTGTGAGGAAGACCACCAGAGAGACATATTGAAGTTGGTCTCAATCCCACAGTCATGTCTCAATGAAACGCATAATGCTGTTTTCCAGATACTCTTGCTGGAGTTCACCCAACTTGTTTTCAAACAACACCACGTCGCCAAAAGATGGCTTGAACTCCCTCCTTTTCTCTCAACTCTTTGCTCCTGACACCTTCTTTTCAGCTAATCTGAAATTTTGTTTCTGCAGTTGAGGTATTATTTCGGTTTTTGTAGCGTTACTCACCTGCTCGTGATTGTACACCACCTTGTTGCTGTGGTTGCCAATGTCGAAAGTAAAAAGTATCGCCAAAGATCTTTCCAGCTGCACACCATCCAGTACAAGAGGGAATAATTGTCTAAAAATGTTTCCACCAGAAAAAGAGGAATTATTAAAAAAGAAGAGAAAAAAAATCAGAATGAAAGTAGCAGAGCGACTCCAGCATGCGGCCACATTCTAGAAGAGGTAAAAAATTAAATGGGAAAAGTATGAGGGGTATGTATAGTTTTGTAGAGCATTGTAGACATTAGAGGTGCATCATTCAGGCATTGATTTAAAAATGAACTCGACCAAATGTGTCAAACGTCTCTTTCCAGAACCGCTACAGTGTGGAAGAATCTAAACCCATTCTGGGGTGAAGAGTACACGCTGCACCTCCCAATGGGGTTTCATTCACTGTCGTTCCTCGTGATGGACGAAGACACAATTGGGTAAGAAGGTTTGAAACGTCTTCATTCTTAAACAGCCTAGTATCATGTAGGGCAGGGGTGTCAAACTCCAGTCCTCAAGACCTGGTGTCCTGCAACTTTTAGACGGGCCTCTGCTGCACCACACCTGAATAAAAATAATTAGGTCATTAGCAAGGCTCTGGAGAACTTATCTACACAAGGAGGTAATTAAGCCATTTCATTCCAGTGTTTGGACCTGTGGCACATCTAAAATCTGCAGGACAGCGGCCCTTGAGGACTGGAGTTTGACACCTGTGATGTAGGGGCTGGCATTTGATTTATAGCCCTCATTATTTAACTTAGCTCAGGAACTGAACTTCAAGTTCAGCTCAACTGTTTGGGAAAAAACAAAAATGACAGCCAAGCTTTGAATAGACAAGCGTCATCAGGCAAATGGTTGACCAGATTTTTATTTTAGAATATTAGGGCTGCATTTGTCTCTTTTTCATCAGAATGTCAATGCAGTTGTATTGACCTGATACTCAGCTTTTTTTATTCCACTCTGCAGACACGATGACGTTATTGGAAAGATCACGCTGAGCAAAGAAGCTATTGGATCTCAAGCTAAAGGTATGACCGACGACAAAATAAACTTCAGCCTGTCATTAGTTCAAAACATGACCAGAGGTCAAAAGTTAAACATACATGGATTTCCCAAGACACCGAACAGTCAAATGTCCGTTTTTAGTCTGGGAATGTTTTTTTTTTTGTGTTTTCTCACATGTTAAACATGATTTATTTGTGCTGATTAATCACTTTTTGGAATATTTGCCTACCACAAACTCATTGGGCTTTTTTTTTTTTTTTTGTGATGTGTTCCGCCTGCTCATCTACGTAAACGCTGGGATTATTCATTGTGCATCATAAACCAGGAAGGCAGCCAATGCATTTCAAACAGCCTTACACCATAAAATGCCTGGTTCCCTGGCAGAAAAGCTTCCCTTTCAGCTCCCAGTGTTTACCCAGCGTCAACTGTTACACCTTCTGCAATGTCTTGGCCAAACATATGGCACGTAGGGCATGAAGCGCTTTGGTAGTGCAGTCGCTTCACTCTAATACTGGAGGAGTTTATCATGTTATGTTTGCTGCATACAGATACGGTGCTTGTGAGAACCACCTGGCATGGCCTTCATTCCAGTGATTCATGACTACATGACGGTACTGAGTCACTGACTCCCTCGCAGGATTTTTCTCACAGCCTGGCCTTGATTTTATAGTTGTTTTTCACAGGTTTGATGTTTGTTTGATGTTTCTGAAAAATTGAAATGCAATCTAAACGCAGCCACATAACTTGCAGAAGAGTTAGAGTCAGGAGTGGATTGAGGTCTGTACCTACTTGTGCTGCTTCTTTCTTTTTTTTTTTTGTTTCCTTCCATCATCCCACATACTCCAGTCAGGCATAACATTATGACCAGAGACAGGTGAAACAAATTCAAGTGAAGATTTTATCCTCTAAAATGAGTTTGAGGAGAGAAAATTGACCAAGGGTTGGGATTTGAGTGACAAGGGAAAAATTGTGGATGATTCACCATGGTGAAGCAGGTTTATATGTTCATACATAAGATGGTGTACATGAAAATAATGAAACAAAGTTAAGACATATAAGACTAGAAATATAAGAAACCTATTGTTTTTTTTTTTAGTTAGAGCATCTGCAAAACTCCAACTTTCTTGGGATACACACCTTCTATCAACAACTGTTTTAATTGTTCAAGGAGGGATTGGTGGTAAACCAACACAGTGTAAGGACTTTACTGATGCATTATATAACGCAAAGGCTAATTTGTAAAAGAAATCATCGCTGGATCTTAGAAAAAGGTCTCAAAATATATGGTGCATCATAGTTGGTTGTGATGTGGCAGCATCAACCAGTCACAGTACTCTCACTGACTTGTTTCCACCTCTGAAATTTGTTCAAACCAAAATTGTATGCCTCCATGTGTCCAGATTGGAATCTAAGCATCTATTGCAGTTGCTGGATAAATAAGTCTAATCTGGTGAAACGTCTTACTGCAGTGGAGACGACAAATGTCTGAGCGCTACAAATCTCAGTCCATATACATATATTTATAGTTTGTTTGTTGTTTGTTTTTCACAGTGCAACATGGACTAAGACTCTGTCTGAGTGGCTCTTTTATGTCTGATGGGTTAGATAAGACTTTGTGAGAAAACATGTAAAACAAGTTCTGTAACAAGATTCTTTACAGGGATGACACTTTTTTCTTTGAAACTTGTATTTGAAATGAAAAGGAAAGAATAACAGAGCACTCTAAGTGCTTTTATGTTTAGTTAATCTACGTTTTATGACCTGATTGTAGTTTTGTAATCTGACTGGTTAAAGAGGCAACATGTCTGGAAAGCAATCTAAAAAAAGAATATTCTCAAATTTATAATCCGAACAGTGCTGTTTCCGCATATCTGACATGTTCTAACCTGCTTTGCTGTTACAAATCCAGAGTTTTTTTTGAAGACAAATGGGCTGTTAAATCCAACATAGTGTTATCCAAACTCCTATCACTGGAACAAATAAAAAAAAGCCAATATTATTCAGTGCCTAGCGAAAGGGTTAGTCTCCCTTCATCTTGGTAAAAATGCGAATGCTCTATGCCACCAGGACAACAGATTGGCCTTCATGGATTAATGTTGCAAGCCATTGCTGAAGAAAAGTTGTAAGAAGAGTCCCATTTGCGGTATAATGAAAGCCATGCGGGGGATGCCAGCAAACACTCTTAAGAAGATGCTGCTTTCAAAATGCTGTGTGGCAGAAGATTATAGCCCTTATGACATCCACTGTAAAGATGGTGATGGCAGTATCATTTTGTAGAAATACTTCTATTCAGCTAGAACAGGTACACTTGATCTATTTCACTGGGTGAGGAATGGGCCATCATTTCTGTCTCTACAGGTGCAAAGCTTCAAGAAACTTTAAAAAATAACACTAAGATAAAATAAAAAAGCATAACAAAATGTAACATTTCGCTGTAAATGTACAAATAAGCACTATACTTTGTCTCACTCTACCATATGAAATCCCACTGTGTACTGTAACGTTGCACAATATGGAAATTCAAAGAGTCTTCATACTTTAACAGTTTAATTTGAGAACCGTTTGTTTACCACCCTCTACTGTCAGCCCATGTTAGAAACTACTGTAAATAACATTGTCTGTGTGTGTGGTCATCACAGGGCTTGACAGCTGGATGAACCTGACTAGGGTTGACCCCGATGAGGAAGTTCAAGGAGAGATCCACCTGAGACTGGAACTCCTTAAAGACACAATGAAGCGCAGCCTGCGGTGCCAAGTCATTGAAGCCAGGTAAAATTAAAAACCAGCATCTGGCGTATTACAACATTGTTAGCTTTTTCTTCTTCTGCTCTTTCTTTTGGTTTGTTATTTTGTTACTTGCTTTTAAATCCTGTAAAGCGCTTTCTATTGCCTTGCTACTGAAAATGTGCTATTTAAATAAATTTAAATAGCACACACATTAGTGTGGGGGAAGAAAATCTCAAATGAACAAGAACATCTCAAGTAGTTTAGGAGCAAACTTGTCATAAAAAGAATAGCAATAACTTAGAAACAAATGTTCATACCATCTTCAACACAGTTAAATGTCTAGGGCAAAGGGCCACACCATATCTATTTCTGCGAAGAAACCTTGTCTCAATCACTTTGTTTGCTTCTGCACTTCCTTCTGAGTCACACCGCCTCTATCGCCCCACTCAGTGCCCCATCTGCCTGTCCCAATCTCTCAGCCACCGATCAGCCTGCCAATCACAATTTGACACTGGGTTTGAACAAAGCCGAGATACCTCTTAATTTAGCCAACCCCCCCTCCCAAAAAAACCAGTAATACCAAGATGAAACTTATATGATTGGTATAAAATAAGGGATTAGGTTGATATTTGGTCTGCTGATATCCACAGGGACTTGGCACCGAGAGATATTTCCGGGACATCGGATCCTTTTGGAAGAATTATTTTCAACAACCACAGTGCAGAAACCTCGGTGAGCTCTATGACCTCTATGACGTGTGCAGCATTCAAGAGATTCCCAGAGTAAAAAGGGTGTTTTTTTTTTTGTAAATAGTGGCTGTCTAAGATGCTGTGGTATGTCATAAGTATCTTAGACAGTAAGGCAGATGCAGAGATAATTATAGATATTTTGATTTTTATTTAGTTGAATTTATTTTGTATATGTATCCTTTCTTGCATTTTAAGCCTGCAACATATTCCATAGATAGGATTGTAAAACATAACAACTACAAGGAGATAATAATGTAACTATCTTTGCTGACAAAGCAGCTATGTTGTAAGTTTTATTTTCTATTCGATGCGTTCTTTTATGCATAATTTTCATGCTGGGATCATGTCTGGGTGCAGATTATCAAGAAGACCCGTTTCCCTCACTGGGGGGAAACCTTAGAGCTGGAGCTGAAGGCAGAGGACCTGCGTGAGGAGGGGACTGTGATTGTGGAGGTCTGGGACTGGGACATGGTGGGAAAAAACGACTTTTTAGGAAAGGTCAGGATCTCTTAAATTTTATACTATGATTGCTGTCAAATAATGTAGGTTACTGAATCCATAGCGATGGAACCTTGTTAAATTTTAAGACATTACAGCTACAAATCTCAGTGTGTTTTATCTGGATTGTGTGAGGAGCATGCTTGGCATCGTTTCTTTGCCACAAGTTAAAGTTTGGTGTTCTGATCTGAGCTAAGGAAGCTCTATGAATATGTTGGAGGAAAGATGGACTCCGTGCACCGTCTGGATCATGTTCATCACTGAGAATAGGTCTTGCAGGTCTGTGCAATTAAACAGCCAGCACACTTTAGTAGCAAATTGTGCACTTGATGACACATTAACACTTAGCTGGTTTGTCATAATTTGGCAATGTGGAAATTGATTAATTTTCCTTGTTGCTGACTCTCCCTGGCTAATGAGGTAGCATACTTTGATCCAAAGGGTTATGGTATATATGTTATGATTATTGTGAGTCTTATCTTATTGCTGGTGGACCAATAATAAGACGTTATTGTCTATTGTTCTGTTAGTTTCCTGTGAGCCTTGTTTCTAACTTGTCTTCTTTAACAGGTTTTTTTTTTTTCCAGCCCGGTTTTTAGCTTCTTAGCTGTCCAACTTCTCTGTCCTTGTCTTCTTAAGTCTTTGTTACAACAATTTCTTTTCCCTTGCCACTCTTCTTTTCAGGTCAAATTTATTAAGTGTGCAATTACTAAGTGACATTCTTATTTGACATTAGATACCACCAGCTTTCGATTCCGGCAGTCGCTCCGGGTTCCTTTTCTGGTTTTCCTTGCCCAGCCTGTCAGTTTTGGTGGATGGCAACGTGTTTGGTAGTTTACCATTTTATTTTCTTCTTTTCTTTTCTCAGTGATGGAAAAGAAAAGACTCATCTGACGTTGCTCTGTAAGATGATCGACACTTGAGATATCCTAAATTCTCCTCAATTTCTGGAATCAACACGTTATTGACTCATTTGTTTGTTTGTTTTTTCAATCCAAATATGCACAAAGCTCATCAGAGCTTTGTAAAATCTATACATGATTTTCCTTCCACTACAATTATGCGCTACTGTTGGTGCATCCCACAACATCCCAGACTGAAATTTCTCATTTAACATGACACAATGGAGAAACTTCTCAACACAAAACTACCATCTTTGTTGTTGGCTTCATCCTTGTTTATTCTTACTCCACAGGTGGAAATCCCTTTTGCTTCTTTGCACAAGACACCTGTGTTAGAGGGCTGGTTTCGTTTGCTGCCCCTGGGAAACAATGGAGCTGATGCTGGGTGAGGATTATGGGTGTACTTGTTTGTGCAGTGACACCAATGTGTGCAGTTAAAGACCTCGAGTGTATTTTGCACGTAGTTTTTTTTTTCTTCTTCTTTCAATGCACAGGAGGACAGGCAGTTGCTCACCTCCATGCTCCCTTTCATGCATTTAAATGAAGAGTAACAGGTGGAGGGCAAGGCCTCTGACAGCATCTGTTTCTTGAGATAATTTTAGAACAAAGGGCAGAATGAAATGCAAAAGAGATGTCATATTCGGTGAATTTCACAGGCTTATTAGGAACCCTCGCTTGCTGCTTAGTGCAGTTATAATAAAGAGGCTTTGTTATGTATTACAATATATAATAGGGAGTGACTTCCTATGGTTTGAGGATAGTGCAGAAAATTCCCCACTTAACCAATTCCTGAACTGATCCTTCTGTTGTTGTTGGTTTCCAGTGGCAAGCTGGGAGCTCTGCGCCTGAAAGTGCGTCTGGTGGAGGACCAGATCTTGCCGTCTACATACTACCAGCCACTTATTGAACTTCTGGTTGAGTCGGTAATCTCCCCCGCAGAGGTCAGCATCGTAGCTCGTCCTCACTACGGATAGTCATTCGTTCACCTTCATCATGACCACAGAGAATGCTCCATGCGTTACATTTCCTCCGTCTATCTGATTTCCGAAGGCACATTGTTCCTTAAGGTGTGATGAGGGTCTTTCTTTGAACAGGTGGAGGACAGCAGTGCCCTGACCATGCTGGAGGAGGTGACCACTGTGGAGAGCAGGCAGGATGTTGCGATGACTCTTGTGAAGATCTACCTAGGGCAGGGCCTGGTGGTGCCATTCCTCGATTACCTTAACACCAGAGAGGTCAACCACACCAGTAAGGACAAACAGGTTGAAAATATCAGGAAACTAGAATGAGCAGACATTATTAACAACTGGTTATATACTGCAGATGGAGCTTTGACGTTAAGTAGTTTATTTGTAAATAAATGCAAACTGTGTAGTCCTCTAAGGAAGGAAGTTTCATGTGTTGCATGTGTGAAATCTGTCTCAACATCAATTTAATTGTAGTTTTATGAAGACAAGAAAAATGCTTGATGTTGATCTTGAACTAGATTTTCAGATGTAAACATTTAAGCTCTAAAGATGTCACAGACAATTGATAGTTTACCAGTGAATATCCTTCAAATGCATTCATTCTTTATTGCAGTAGCATAAACTAACACTGAAAAATATATAAAGAGAATAAAGAAACTATTGTTACTTAAATCACCAGTGACAAGATTTTTGGAACCTCTTAAAAATACATAGTAAGATATAAGGACATGAAATGTTGTTGTTTTTTTTTTTTCAATTTTATTCACTTGGTAGAAACTTCTAATTAGTAATCCCCAACTTTCTGTTTCCCGGAGTAAAAATATGCAGTAAAAGAGAGTTTCACAACAAAGGTTGCGATTCATTTTTGACATGAACTATGTGGTGTTTTGTACTTTGTTCACTCATTACTTACTTTTGCTTTGCTATTTCTGTGTTCTGTTCTTTATTGGTTTAAGTTTCTCTTTGTTTTTACTCTTTATCTTTTGGTTTAGTAGTAGGATCCCCTCGTGTCCCGTCTGGATCCCTGTGTGTTTGTTTCTGTGTTAATTTGTCATTTTCCCTGAAGTCCTCAATTCAGGTCCACACCCTGTTGCAGTGTAGTAAGTTAATTGAGTTCCCATGTCACTAATCACCTTCCCAGCAGCTTTACTGTAAGTCAGTCAGTTCCCTTTACTCTCCATCTGCTCTGTTGGTTTCCCACCACCGCAGTTTTTCTGTCTTCTGTCACTTTTATCCTTGCTGTCCCATCATATGTTCTCTAGTTCTACACCTGCCTGTTCATTGGTTCATAGGTTCTCTTGATTAAATAATCATCATCAACATGAGGATGTCATTTTCAGGTCTGTGTTTGAGCCAAACGTCAAAACAGAACATGAAGCTTCTGTATCTTCTGGTCGTCTACAGACCAGAAGATACAGAAGGATGCTAGGAAAATAGCCTTTCCAGTTCTACCATCACAAATGTAAACACGTGCAGTTAAAATGGTTAAAATTGAAATTATTTGGCAACAAACACCTCAGTAGAATATGTAGAAATTAAGTATGGTGAAGGATCTGTGATGCTGTGGGCCTGAGTCTGGGGACCTTTATGCACTGTGTTTTTGACACTGAAAATGAGTTGTCATTCTGTCTCTCTGTATTTTCCAACTATATACAGAAAAGACAAAGTGCTCTATTTTTTACCCTATGAGCAAAAAAAAAAAGTGAAACATTCTCCTACTAATCAAAAGTTTAATGTTTCCATTAAAAAATGGATTGTATTACAAACGTCAAAGTGGACTCAGGCTACCGCAGCAAAAGATGAATTCATGTTGATGCTTTGCCAGTAAACAAGCTCAATAATGTACCTCAACTTGTCCAAATCGTTGTCGAAAATGTGTTAGTTTATCAGTCACAAACTGAAACCTGCCAGCTGCTGCTATTACCTCTCGCTCCTGAGACTCTCTAAAGGTTGCTGCTGTTTTAAGTCAGAATTGACATCAAGGTCTCTGAGCACCACAGCTATTGTCTGCGCGTAGGCAGTGAAAGCCCACCGGCACTATATTTACCACCCCGATGGCGATTATTTACTCACCCCAACAGTCTTTTCATGGCTTGTCCGAGGTCTGGATTAGTCATGTTTTTTCCTCCGCACTGTAGCCCCCCCAGAGATAATTCACACAGAGTTGTGCTTGGATTTCAAGCTCCGTCGGTGCAGTTCGAGATAATAAGTATAGTGCCCAAGTTTCCATAGCAACTGCACGTGATCCAACTGGTAACTGCTTGATCAGGAATAGATGCTGCGAACAGGCGGACATTAAAATTAGGAGCAGAGGGCAAGGCGAGGAAAGCATATTGTACGTCCTCTGCGTGGGAATGAAATCAGTCCTGCTGGCCCTGTAGGTGCCAATGTTTCACCAGAATAACGCAGTCCTGTCACCAGGGGCGTTTTTACTAACAACCCCTGAAAAGGATTTACAGTGATGGAGCAGCAACGTCGGGCTGCTCTCGCTTTTGACACTGGGCTGTTTTCTTTGTGAAGAATATTGTACCTTGGCTGATTAAGCTGCAATAAAATTAATATCCAATAAATGTTTACATAAAATATAGAAAGTGTGTGTGAGTTGTTTTCAGCTTGATTTAATCCTTCAGTTTCAAAGGTTGTAATCAAGCCGAGTTAATGTGGGTGCTGAGGGATTTTAAATGTTAGTAGTTTTAATACAGCGCTGAAGATTTAGATTGCAAAATTATGATTAATGAGCAAAGTGAAATTATTTAAATATCTTTAGTCTTAAAGCAGCAGTTGTGCATCACTCATTCAGTATATTATATTTGCTTTAATTTGGATATTTTCTTTGTTTTTTTTCCGCAGCTGATCCAAACACCTTATTTCGCTCCAACTCTCTTGCCTCCAAAGCCATGGAACAGTTTATGAAGGTGTGACAAACTCTTATTTTATTTATGCAAGAGTAAGAGTTTCTTTTTTTTTTCTGAATGCATGATTTGTCTTTTATTTATGACTAACCCACTTTTGTCCCTGTTTGCAGTTATTGCATTTCCTGTCTGAGTAACAGTGCCTTACAAAAAGTCTTAATACCTCTTTAACTTTGACATATTTTGTGAAGGTACAATGGGCAAAATTAAATTTCTTCTTGAAAACCCTCACTGTAGCACATGGTGATGCTCTTCTTCTGGAGGTAGAATTGATGAGTGGATGCATGAAACTATATGCAAGGCGATCCTGAAAGAAAACCTGTCGAGGCAGCAGGACAACGACCTTTTCAACATACAGCCAGAGCTGCAATATCATGGTTTTCAAAGTTGCTCTTCATTTTTAGATGACCTTTGCCCAAATTTCACTGAGCTTCTATAATTCTGCAAAAGGAACAATACGTGAGAGTTTCTTGTTGTGTTGCGAACAAATTAGAAAAAAAGCTTGAGAGGTTTTAATGCTGTTGCAGGGCACTCTACTGCAAATGCGCAGCTAAAGCATCCGACTGTATGCAGTTAACTTTCTGCACTTTGGAGAATTTGGAGGACTTGTACACATTTTGAAGCCAAACCCTGTTCCAGTGATGTAAATGAGGTACTCTGATTAAACGATGCTGTCTTGCTGCCAGGCCGTTGGCATGCTGTATCTGCATGAAGTGTTGAAACCCATCATCAATCGCATCTTTGATGAGAGGAAGTACATTGAGCTGGACCCGTGTAAGATTGACCTGAACTGCACAAGGTAAAACAGACCATACTGCAAACATCATGCTGGATCACACCACTAATGCACAAATCTGATTCTGATCTAATGGCGTCGTCCAGGACAGGTTCAGAGACGTTGTCAAGTCGCAGATTTATGTGTGCAGCTGCTAAAAAGCTCAAGTTGAAAATCTGCTGCACGAGGTTGAGAGCAAGACATACATACAAGAAAATAAAAGAGAAATAATTAAAAAAATAGAAGAATTTAGAAATGGGGAGGGTTTGTTGCTTGGCAACAACCATGAGCCCCCTGAGATGTGTCTCTATTTCTGACACGGAGAGAGAGAAAGACCCAGGATGTAACATCCTTTGAGTCTGCACTGGAAATGCCTGTCCTAATCTTTTTTCCCCATTTTCCCTCCCACTGAATGTATCCCTTTTGACATTCTCAGTCTAACACAAACTAGCTGTGTTCCTCTGTCCAATCTCCACATTATCAGTGTCTTACATTTATCCAGAGCACATTTATCATAATTATCCAGAGCAGGGAGGCCACCACTTGTGTGTAGATTGGGTAAAAGCTGCTTAGTTCTTACATGTTGCTAGTAAATGAAAGCAGAAAATGACTCTGGCTGTTTACCGTGTGTTCTCAAATTTGTCTTTGTGCCTGAAGACGGATTTCGTTTAAGAGCAGCTTGTCAGAGGCAGAGGTTCGGGACTACAGTGTGGAGATGCTGCAGACCTATTTAACCAGCATCATTGAGTCCATCGTCAGCTCTGTCGATCAGTGTCCTTCAGTCATGAGAGTGGCCTTCAAACAGCTGCACAAGAGAGTGGAGGAACAATTCACAGAGCCGGAGAATGAGGTCAGCGTCGAGCCCGACGCCTAAAAACTGGGAAAGATCCTCTGGGAAATCATTCTCAGTTCACTAAATTTTCTTTGAAACTCACTTTAATTTGAACAGGATGTGAAATACCTCGCCATCAGTGGGTTCTTCTTTCTGCGTTTCTTTGCCCCTGCCATCCTGACGCCTAAGCTGTTCCAGCTGAGAGACCAGCACGCTGACACACGCACAAGCAGGACGCTGTTACTGCTCGCCAAGGTACGACATATGGACAGACGTGGGTGCTTTTAGTATGAAACGAAAGGTGAATTGTTGTGTCCCAGAAGTCTGCAGAGAGGTGAAACACAAGGCTAATGATCAAGAATGATATAGTTATGTTTATAATTATTCCAATCATGGGGTCAGTATTAAGATTTAATATTTCTCACTTATATTTCACACTTCGTAGCTGAGGGAGGCAACAGTTAATTGTGTGTACAGAAATGTATTAACATTTTTAAATTATGTCATATTAAAACCAAAAGCTTCAATGTATTTTATTTGGATTGTATCTGACAGACCAACATAAGTGGAAGAAAAATATAGACACTGCTCCTCCTTATTTTAATTACTTTTTTTTTTTACAAAGAACAATATCAAAATATACTCTAACAGAGGGAAATAATGAACATCAGATTTCACCTGTGTGTTGTTTTATCTGAGGCCTCAGAGGCCTTTTTGAAAAACGTTAGTAAGCAGCATTATGAAGATCGAGGAACACAACAGGAAGTTGTAGAGAAGCTTGAAATGCACTTTAGTTTATAAAAGAATAACCCAGAATTGAAACGCCTCACAGAGCATTGTTCAATCCACCATCTGAATACAGAAAGAGTATGATACAACCATCAACACTGCAAATCAACCTGACTCCATACGCAAAGTGAAACATGGTGGTGGCAGTAACATCCTGTGGGGATGCTTTTCTTCAGGAATGGCAGAAAAACTGATGAGAAGAGATTTAAAATTGTGATGACTTGGAAGAGAAGAACGGACAAGAAAACCTAATTTTTATGTATTTTTTATTCTTTGATCTTTTTAAAAATTTTAATTAGTAAGTGTTTGGGTAGATTGGGTGACATCGAGACTAGCAAAGTTGTTGTGTCCAATGATATGTATGGAACATTTGGAAAAAGAAAAAAAAAGCCTAAAGTCTGTATGTACACTTGTATGGAAAATAATTTTCAATAAAAATCCGCAAGTTAAAAAAGAAAAGAAAAGCTCAGTGGATGTGAATACTGGACACAAGACACTGAATGAAAATTGGTGACCATGCAAAACACAGGCTGCTGTTTCAGCAGCGATGCAGTGAGCAGAGGGTTTCACTTCTTCGCAACGGTGTAAAAATACAGCATCACAAATAGATTGTGTGACAGATTAGACAGACTAGCACTAGAAAGCCATTAGCACACTGTGACAGAGAGCTAACCACACCTTGAAATGGCAATTACCCATCAGTGTCGCTTGAATCAACACCCACCATAGCTTTAAAAATAGCGACCGCATGTCACGATCACTTGCTTGTTGCTGAGACCTCATATTCTCTCTAGTGCATGGGTCTGCGGTTGCTGTCCATGGTGCTGAAAGGCTGTTGCCATGAATCCAACACACACATGACGAGTAGCTATTTTTACCCCTGTATGTGCAGCAACCAGCCCGCGGTTCAAAGTGGAGCATCAGAGAGGGCCGTAGCGAGGGGGCTTCCTTCTCGCCCCCCCACTGGCCCCCTACTGAGACCAGGTGGAGGCCACACAAAGAGCCTCACAGCACGCTTTGGCCCTCAGGGACCCTTCTGATCTTTGACTTTGAGACCTGCTGTTGGTGGGCGGATTTCTGACGTGATGAAAGATATCAGTGGAGAGCGCATGTCGTGTGTTTATGGTCCCCAGGCGCTGCAGAGTGTGGGCAACCTGGGCCTTCAGCTGGGTCACGGGAAGGAGCAGTGGATGTCGCCTCTTCATCCCATCATCCTCCGCAGTGTGGCCTCCGTCAAGGACTTTCTGGACAAGCTGATCGACGTGGATCAGGATATTGGTAAGGCAGACGACACTGAGCGCTCCACTGAACCTGTAATCAACCAGCAGGAGACCAGCTGTCAGAGGGATCTGATATGAGCGCGATACAGTTGCTCTGTGGTGAAATATTCATAACCAGCTGGAAGTCTGGAAAAGGGCTAATACTTGTACACACAACACTGGATACCCAGCACGTCTTGAAAACACTTCCCCGTCACCCCCACCCTTCTGAAATATTGTATTTCACACCCCCTCTTTTTCTCTCCGGTGCCAGTTTGACATTTAGTTCTCTTCAGGTGGAGATTTTTACAAGTCATAACACTCACTATTCATGTAATGAGGTTTTCCTTTTGTAGATTGAGGTACCACCGCCGTAACAGGGGATTGCAGTATAAATAACTGTCACCTAACAATTAGATCTTATCTATTTTGTAGCCTGGGGCTCCCTCGTGCCTGTCAGGTTCAACATAGTGTTTTCTTCTCCCCACTGCAGTGTCATCGGTGCCTCAGAGGGCTGTGTTCATGCCTTCAGTGACGGTGAAGGAGGGATACCTCCACAAACACAAAGCAGAGGGACCCCAGCTGCTGTCCCGCTTTGCCTTCAAGAAACGCTACTTCTGGCTGACTAGCGAGACCTTGTCCTATGCCAAGACCTCCGATTGGCAGGTTGGTATATTCTGCTAACATAAAGTGCCTTTCGAAACTTTTCTTTTCTCTCAGGCTATTATCTGTTGTGTCACCTCTTTGGAAGGAAGGATCACACATAGAGTTCAAACTTTTATACAAAGACAAATTTGACAATTGTGGTGTGGATTTATTCTCAGACTTTTTTAATCTGATATGTCGAAATAAAATCCAGGGCGATCAGCTGCTTGTGTTTGTTTGTTAGAGAACATTCGTGGACAGACGGCATCATGAAAAACAGGACAGGGCAGTGGTAAAGTTGTGGAGATGTTTGAGGCAGGCTTAGGTTAAATCTGGGTTAGCAGCTTTAAAAAGGACTGGCAAGAGGAAACCATTGTTCAAAGAAATGCAGAAGAGACACCCTTTTCAGCTTGACCCAAACCTGTAGGGAACAAGGCCAAGTGTTCCCCAGTCCTTAAGGCACGCTGCATCTGATTCAGATGATTGCAGTTCAACAAATGCTTGGTAATCAACCCAAACATGCAGGGCAGTCTGCTTTGAGAACCAGGGTTGTGGAACTCTGCTCTGGTCGCATGAAAGAAGAAAATGCAAATGCAAATCTCTGCGTGTGGTCGTGTACCAACACTACATCACACTGAAATGGTGTGTTCAACATTTCACACCAACACAGCAAGTGTCACTCTCTGGGCAAATGTCAAACTTGGTGAGTTCAAGTGACACTTTAGCACACTTAAATACGGAAAGAGGGTGGTGGCAACACCAACCTCAGTAGGGACAGGAAACTGAAGGGAAGATGGAGATGAACACAGAACAATCTTAGAAGAAAAACGACTGGAGGTTGCAAAAGGCTAGAGAAAGAGATCAATGTTGCTGCAGGACAATGACCCTGTTAGAGACTTTGACTGAGCTGTTTTGCAGAAAAACACTAGAAAACACATGCAAGACCTGCAGCTGCAAATGCTCAGAATTGTTGAATAAATTTACACAACACATTTTCTGATTTTTATTATTAAAAAACAAAATACATAAATGTGCATGAACAGTACACATACAGCTTTGTGATTGCACCATGACAAAACGTGGAGATGCTCGAGGGATATGAATACTTCTGCAGCGCTGTGCAGTTTGTACAAGCATTTGTGTCGTTTTTGAATCCAACTGTTGTTTTTTATTGTTTTCATGTAGAAGGGTTTTTTTTTTTTTTTAATCGGACTTCCAGAGGGGCCCTGAACAGCAGGTGGAAGAGAGCATTATTTCTTCAAGTCTTTTACTGTGACGCTTGGACGAAGTAGCAATAAAACAATAATTATTTCTCCTCTGCCAAATGAAAGACCAGTGAAACTGAGTAATTGATTTTAGAAGCTGGCTGGCTGTCTTGTCATGAATTACTCACAGGTTGTGGCTTTGAACAGAGATTTATCAGCGCTGAGGAAATGAGAAAATGGGGAAACCTTTAAGTCAGCCCCATCGTGTTTTGATGTATTTGTGAGATCATCATTAGAGTTATTACCATGCAGAGTCTAACCTTGTAATAATGATCTCCTATTATTTATTGTCCAGAGGCTGTAAGAGAGAGGGAGACAGAGAGAGAGGGAGAAACATGGCTGAGGAACAACCCCTTAAAAAGCGCTCTCTCTTTGAGCCGGTCCCCTGCTTTGTGTGACCAGAATAAAAGGCGAGGTTTAATTGAAGGCTCTGGATATTCATGCTGACATTGCAAATCAGATTGCAGACAATGTCCTGGCCCCTTCCCTCCACGGTCGGAGCACTCCATCCTCGGTGAAGCCAGCTCCCGTCAGAAATGGCTGATTTACACTTAAAAGTAACCTTCGCTGCCACACTGATCTCTCTCTTTTTTTTTTTCTTTTTAGTTTTACTGCTTGTGAAATAGACATGTTCTGCCATATTAATTAGTTCCTTGATCTGTCAGCTTTCGTTGAAGTAAACCAAAACCTGAAATCATCCTGGGGTGAGGAGCGACGTATCGTTCCCGGTGTGCGTTAATAGTTGGATGAACTGTTGCAGGTGCGCTCCTCCGTACCAATTCAGCGTGTGTGTGCCGTGGAGAGAGTGGATGAAAATGCCTTTCAGCAGCAGAATGTAATGCAGGTCATTACACAGGACAACGATGGAAAGCTGAACACCATGTACATCCAGTGCAAGGTGCGCTTGTGCCTTCGCTAACCAGTCACCGTCTAATTCATAACTTTTCTTGCCATTTGTCAGCGTGCAAATCAGCACAAAAATCTGGCCACATTTGCGCCTTGTTTTCCTTCTAACCGATGTTTTTCTCTCCCGTTGGGATGTTTTTGTCTTAACAGAACGTAAATGAGTTGAACCAGTGGCTGTCTGCAATAAGGAAAGTCAGCATCTACAACGAGCGCATGCTGCCTTCTTTTCACCCGGGCGTTCATCGCAGCGGCAAGTGGACCTGCTGCCTGCAGGCAGACCGTGCTGGTGAATCATGGCGTTATGAATCCCACCGCTGAAAAGATTCTGAGAGGACTCAGGATGGGATTGTCCACCTGTTTTCTTGCACTGACTGCACAATTATTCAAAACGCTTTGAACTTTTTCACATTTTCTCTCATCTGAATCACAAACCTTAATGCTTTTCATTAAGATTTAAGGAGCAATACTTGTAGAGCTAACACAAGAGGCATATTATTGGAGGGTGGATCAAAAGAGAAATGCTTTTTTACAAATAACAAAATTGATAAACTTGTGGTAAACTGCAAATAGGACTTCTTGGAACAATCACTTTCTTCTTCTCCTTTTCATTAGTTTTAGTTTCGTTACACTTCCATCCATCCATTTTCTTACACCCTTGTTCTTAATGGGTGCACTATGTATTAAAACACTACTTTGTGTTTTTTTTTTTACATAAATCCCATTAAAACGTACATTTATAATTGTAAAACACTGACAAGTTTACTACGCAAAGCCCTGTATCACTCATTGCCGTCTCAGCATGCTCGGTCTGCAAACAGCTTGGGTTAAATATACAACCCCGTTTTCACCAACTTGTCGATGACCTCAGATGATGACCTCAGATGAGTTTAGCTGAACCATATTTAACACGTCAGCATTTCAATGAATAGCTCTTGTGTTTTTGCTGCTTCGTGCTCAAGCTGTCTGTCGCAGCTTTAACGTCGGAAGATGCGCTGTGCAAAATGCAAGGGGTATTTTTGGTGTTGAAATAATTTTCCTGCAGGATGCCGCAATATTTACCCCATGATTTGTAGCTGAATCACCTTTTAGTTGTCATGTGCAGCACCACCCTTTTAACCAAAAGGTTTTGCTCAGTTTCAGGCTGCAGCAGAACCCACTCGGCCGTAACTCTGGGCGACTGGAGCGACCCACTGGATCCCGACGTGGAGACTCAGATAATATACAAGCAGCTTCTCCAGGGCAGAGACAAACTCAGGTCAGCGTCTGCGTTTCTTTTCTTTCAGCCTGGATGCAGCTCATTTGCCAGTCACTAGAGGTCTATGTTGCAACGCAGGACTGCTCTGCTCTACTCTGCTCTGCTCTGCTGCTGCTCATGATATTCAGCCTTGCAGAGAATCGTGCATTTCTGTGTCACTAAATGTTTCCAGAGGCAAAAGATGAGATAATGTGATGAAATTCTAACTGATAATGCAGGAAAAAATACCTGGAGATGGAAGACGCAGATCCGACGTCAAGCATTCAGGAAAAGAGGATCAGCCCTGATATTCACCCAGGTGAGATCAGACTTTTATTACAGAGAAACCATCAAATGTGAGTTTGTTTTGACTGTGTTATTGCTAGTGAAAATGCCTTTTGACGACAAAAATCCTTTTCGGATCGCCTGCTGTGTTTCACTTGGATTTGCATTAACGAGGAACGCTTATTCTGTGGACTTCTGCCTCCCAGACGGTGCCGAATGCAACGCTCCGCCGACGAGGCCCGGTCAGAGCGTCGCTGCTCGGCTGCTGGTGGTGATAGAGGATCTGGAGCAAGCTCACGCCACCTTCCAGCTGAGAGAAATGGAGGACGCTACCAGAGTCATTCTGAATCCCTAGGCTGCACACGGCCTCTGATCTATTAATGCCTGACAGGAGGGCTGCGTGTGTGTTGAGATGCTGGAGGAGAGAGAGGAGGTGAAGCGGAAAGAGGGAGCAACAGCCACACACACGATGTTTGTCACAGAGGGAAACTGTGACCTCGTCCAGCCTGTTGGTGTAAAGAGCAACAGAGACTTTGTCATCTCTTTCTGTACTTTCTGAATCCCACCAATGAGGAAGGTTACGACACGCGATGCTAAAACGGAGAGGGTCTTTGCAGCACGATCTGGATGTCATATCCATATATATATTTTGTAGATAACAAGCAGTCCGTTGCATGGCTTGCATCCGCTTGTGAAATGTGAAAAGCTTTTATATTTCAAGATATTTTACAGCACTTGAAACATTTTTATGCAAAAAGGCTTGTTGTAGTGTACTGTACAGTTCCTAAATGTAAGGTGATTTGATACTTGTGGTTCATCACTCATGTTTTGTACCCCGATTGAGGTAATTCACCGCCAAGGCCACTTTGTAGCAGGTAATTTAACGTCACACGTCATTCCGAGTGATGTTATGTCAAAGTAACGCTCAGTGTAACGCTACCTATATAGTGAGCGAAATTAGCAACGCCTTACATGTCCTTTTTTTTTTTCTTTTTAACAAACAGCTTTTGTATTTGGTGTTGTGGCCATTTGATTATGTAAATGGAGCTCTGATGTTATTGTTTTTCAGATTTAAGCATTTCAGACATTTGTATGGGTAATATTTACCTGACTCAAAAGTGTCAGGCTGTGTTTGAGATGCCAAATTGTATTTTTTTTTCTTTTCCAAACCTTAACAAGCCAATACAGAAATTAGTAAATTAATTTAGAGAATTTTAAGCAGGATTGGTGCTTGAAGAGCAGAGCAGGGGAAAATAATTGAGCTCAGATGTTATTGAGGAGAACCTCAGCTGGTTGTTTTATGTGGTTTTATTTCGGGGGAACATTCTTCCTGCCATACAGGCAATGTCTTGTCCAGGAACTCATATCCTCAAGAAAGAATATTTACTCTCATTACAACCACAAACCCTAATGCGTTTCATTGTCAACCAGGACATGAGATACGATTTTCAAACTTTCATACATATAACGTTTTTGAAAGCTACAAAGTTTTGGGAAAAAAAAATCCTTTTGCTGGCTTTTACAGATTTTCTTCCACAATTGTCTGGGATTTAGCTCCATCCCCATTCTTATAAACTCTGAGAAGTCTATTTGTCACTGATAAAAGAAAGAGCATCCCCACAGCAAAATGCTGCCACCACGTTTCAGAATGGGGATGCTGCTTGTCTTATTAACGTTCTCCTCGCTCGGCCTGTCGGTTCTGGTGTCTCAGGTTCACATATGTGCCATTCTCTTTCCTTTCCTCCCCTGAGGCCTGCACAAAACAGCTGGATCTTAACAGAGTCAAATACATCTGGTTGCACTTCACTTTATTTAAGGCCGTCAAAAAGAGGCTTTTCAAATTTTCGGGATCTTCTTTGTTCTTTCAATACTCAATTATAAGATACTTTGTGGCTGTCAGGTTACAGCCGACAGTAAAGTTTGACAAGATTTGGGAATGTTAAAGGATAAAAATAGTTTCCCAAAATACTGTAAAGTCCATCCTTTCACAGATGTAGAAAAATAAAATCACACTGAACATCATTAAAAATGGGGGACCTCAAAAGAACCGGAAAAGTAGAAGCTACTCATCACATTTTTGATTTTGGAATTAGATGTTATTCACTTTTTGTGCTTTGATTATTTAAGAGTTCATGGCTGCTGCTTTGGAGGGACGTTGTCTGACAGCTGGGGGAAAACAAAATCAAAAACTCTTTGCAGTTTGCATATTAAGACATTTTATGAAGACACTAAACAAGCCATAAGGTCAAAAACTTTTAAACATATCGACTTCTTTAAGTGTCTGAGTGCCCAAACCTTGGTGCTTCTTTGTTTTATTCCCACGATCAAAGTGTAGAAAACCAAAATAAAATGAGATAATGATGTGATTTTTTTAATCGATTGTGTATTTTATATATAAAAAAAAGAAGGAAAATACAAGTACCAGGATGTTTTACCTACCGTTTTCATTTTATTCTGCTTTGAATGAATTCCCTGCATTTACCTGCCGAGTGATATGGACATTGTTGAAAGGACCAAAACTAACACGTCAGCATTTCTCCGGGTGGGAAACACAAAGTAACGATTTGTTCCAGGTGCGTTTGTAATTGTGGGGAATCCTGCGTTTCATGACTTCCCCCCTTGCGCTGCAGAAAGAAATAAAGCGGCGGCGTCAACTGTCCTAATCAAAGCCCAGGCGCGTCTATTCACTCATGACTTGGCGAACAACGTGACGCTTTGCAGCCGATCCCACACAGAATGAATCCAGACACCGAACAGATCCCAGAGCTCGCTTTTATTTCCACCAACCACAGCTCCAAACAAGTCAAGAGGGACAAAAAAACGGCGGTGAAGCAGATTCACTGCCAGCCAGAAGCGTCTCTGCGGCTCCCACGAAGCTCGTTTCGATCCACGGAGCAAGAGAGCGCAGCAGAGAGCGGGCTGGAGCAGCCCGAGTGAGAGCGCGTCACAACGCCTGGAGAGGCCGTTCAGAAAACAAATACAGAAAGAGAGAGAGAGAGAGAAGCTGGGTGGAATCAAGAGTCAAGGTGAGAAAAATCCCTCAGAGCCTCCAGCGGCACATATATTTATTTTTTTTTCCACAAGGAACACACAAAACATGCAACAAGGTCATCACAATTCAATAAAGACTGATTGATTAAGAAGCCCTTTATAGTTTAATCAGTGTCTCTCAGTAGCTTGCATTTTTGTTAGTGTCACACTGCTGGAGGTTAAATGAAAAAGTAATAAAAACAATAAGTGACCGATTAGAATATTTTTGAAATGGCCACCTGAATGCATTTTAAAAAACAAAACAAACAACAAAAACAACAACTATACCATATGGAGTTTGTAGGTGCCTGGTGCTGCCTCAAACAGGGTGCATCTCAATAAATCAGAATATCATCAAAATGTTATTTTTCATTGATCTACTCAAAAAGTAAAAAAAAAAAACCCAAACATATTGTATAGATCGCGTTGTGTGGAAAACGTCGTGTAATGGCCGAAGCAATCGTGGAAAAACTGCTGACAGTTGTCCAGCAGTCAATCGCTGACATGCTTCCAAAGGAAGGGAAGCAACAAAGGCTGAGTCCAAACACGCTGACGGAGAGTGAAGTGTGAGGGGAAAGTGTGGTGCAAAAAGGGGGGGATATACAACAGGGATCATTGCTAAAGAAAATGACTTTTTACATTGGCGCAGCATGTAAGTGAAAGGTTCAGTAGAAGGAAAAAGTGTGCAAGTTGGTCCTTATGCACCAGTGTGTTCGCGGAAAGTTGAGTGGAAGAAAGGTGAAGCAGAAAAAGGGGGACATGCTACCTGGTTAGAGCGCTGCATGCATGCATGCTGATGGAAAGTTAAGGGGAAGGGAAAAACGTAAACACAAAGAAGCAACAGAAATTGTTGTTGACATTAGCGCCTCTATGCAAAGCGCTGCGTAAAAGTGTGTTGATGAAAAATTTAGCCTTTTTAGCCTTTTGCAATATTCACATTGTTTTCTGACAAACTGAATTTCAGTCTCTCATAAGCTGTGAGTTGCAATAAAGAAAATGAACAAATACATAACGATTAAAATATGTCAGAACGTGTGTGACGAATCTATAGGGATCTGTTTCACTTGGTGAATTAAAAAACTGGAATAAATGTACTTTTGATATTTTTTATTTATACAGATGTGCCTGTAAATCAAAACCAAGATAGGCCATAAGATCTTTCTAACTAAAGAATTCAATAAATCACTTTTTTTTTTCTCCAGAAGACACTATGATGTTTTCATTGACAGAACTATGCATTGTCAATACACTTACAGTTTGACTGACATGCACCTCTAGGAGAACATTACTGCATCTTGAAAGGACATGAACGAAAGCTTTGTTTACTGGACACCTACCTGCCACACACACACACACACACACACACACACACACACACACACACACACATAGAAACCCCCCCCCAACTACTTCCACAGTTTTCAGCAGACACTACAAGCGAATATATATGTAAATATATTATGTAATAATAGCTCTGACCACCTCTAATCAAATGCAAAAGTATGAAGTGAATAAACATAATGTTACATAAGATTCCTTTTAGAGACAATCATTAAAAAATACATAAAAATATATGTCTTCAAACACGTAGCATATTAACGTCCTCGGACTGAAACCCCCTCTGCTCATAAGCCGGGAGGTAGGCAAACTCTAAAGGAAACAACTGCTGCCATATAAACCGGAAATCTGCCGTCCTGCTACAGACGAGCCACGTACTGGAGCTTAAAAATAGGAAATTGCATAAAAGCCTTCTCTCTCTCTTTATGTTCAGGCAGATCATTTTCGCTCTGTAACCGAAACTTCATCGAAAGAACGAAGGGGAAAAAAATGAAATCCCTGATTCACAGCTTTCTGTCCTGCTGTCCCATTTATGTATTTATTTATCTTTTTAAATTTGTTTTTTTTTAAAAGAGTGTCAGGAAGGTGCGAGGGAGGAAACTCCTGGAACAGTGACCGCTTTTAACACCCGGGGTCAAACATTGTACTGTACTTCTTCAGAAGTTTTTTTTTAAAACAGATAACACTAAAAATATTGCAGGACAATTTAGTAAATAAATACTTTCTCTACATCTCTGACAGCTGATGCGTTTGGTCCTGGGGACTGTGGTAACAGCTTTTGTTCTTGCTATGTGCTTCCATGCTTGTTTTCCAGCTAATAAATTGGCAATAGGTTTCATTGCACACACACGGTTAAGGATAATAACTCCACACACACACAAGCCTTTTATTTCAGCATTTTGCCTGCAGTAAGGGTGCGTTATCCACGGTACTGCAGACATTTATAGAGGAGCGGAGCTTTTCTGTGGTTTTGTCCTCTTTTTAATGTGAACTTGATGTGGAAGTTTAGAACTTGTCCTGGTCGGTTACCAACATTATATTATGCATTTATTATTATACGTATATATATTTTGTTAATCTTGGTTTTTGGGTTCTACACATCAATAGAGGAAACGTAACGCATTCTTTTGTCATGCAATCCAAAATTATCCTCAAATTTCCTGCTTTTGTGGAATCGTAAATGTGCACAACTTTGCACCCTACACACTTACCGGTAGCCCTGGTAAAGACGTGTTAAAACTCTGAAATTCATCTTTCATTGGGACGTCCTGTCCCTTTAAACTTCGTGCCAAGGGCAAAAGATAAACCTAGCTTCAGCTAAACTCTTACTGACAAAAAACTCACACTCAGATTATTTGTTGCAGTTCCAGTATTTGTTTTCTTTAAGCTATTTTCTGACTTATAAGGATTGATATGCTGCATCCCAACTGGAAAGTTATGTTCTCTTGTATTTCCCATTTAGATGAGGCTAAGAGCATGTTGGCCTCCGTATCGTATCGACTAACTGTGATTTACCTGAGCGGATCGGCGTGAGATGTGTTAAAGAAATAAAAACGCTTGTGTCAATTCATCACAATGAATTATAAGGAGTTCCAATAATATTGAAAATAAATTAATTAATAAATAATAAGTCAAATAAAATAAAGCAAATTTATCTTAAGAACCTATACTTTTGTTTTTCTTTTCATTTTTTATACCACATCTTTACCCAGGACACCAAAGACAGGGAGCAACAATGAGCAGATGGTTGTTTGTTTGTCTTATTTGACCGGAAACATTAACTAGTAAGAAATATGTCAAGCATTTCTTTGGGTTATCTTGTTGGGCTGAGTGTTAAATTGTTAGAGTGGGATCCTTTCCTACTCACATTATTGCAAACGACCAATGACCAATGACAAAGATGATACCTCTTTGTTTTCATGGTCTTTGATTTGGTTTACATGCTGGTCTCATGTTTTTCATTTTGCTAAAACAACCTCTTACATGTATATCCGCCCATTTCGCCTCCAGACTGCACAGAAAGGATTTCAAGTTCGGCGCAGGCAGAAGAAGATTAAAGTGGCCTAACTCGTGGGAAAAAAAACAAAAAAAGAGAACATATCTTCATGCTGACCTTCCCTCGCCAATAATAAGAGTCAATTTACTGAATTTACTGGCGTCCGACAGGCAATCAGCAATGCAGATTCTACATTAAGGTGACGACAGCCGTTTTCTAACACTACTTGTAATATACAACATTCATGACATGTCACACATGTTTCAGTCCCTGACAAACTGACAGACTTTGCCAGAATCCATTTTGACATGTGTTTGCGTATAAATATGTGGGACAATCTTTTTTTCTTTTCTTTTTTCCATATATATATATATTTATATATATATATATATAAGAGTATAAAAATAAACTAAACTTACGCCACCGACTCAAACTGAGCTAAAAATTAAAGGTATATCACATCTGCAATTATATATATAATATAGATATATATTATATATATAATTTTTTTCTTTAAAGCATCGCAAGCCAGTTTATAGACATCTACTTAAAAAAAGACAGTAAATAGCAATTTTAGACATCTTCTAAAAGAAAAATTCAATAGAATAAAAAGACTGATTAAACAGAAAAGTTGCCTGAAGGTGCTATGGAAGACTATGATTCAGCCCCCGGCCCAAGTCATCGCATTGATCGCATACACTCAGGAGGATTATCCACTGATAGGTTGCAAAGAAACGTTATGAAGGCCTAGAGAAGCTCAAGCTCTCAGATATTACAAACGACGAGGATGCAGGAAATAAAAACAACCAAAAAAACCTTCTCTGCAAAAACGCAAGATGAAATTTTGCACCCCTCTTTAGCTCTACAGCCGAGAAGAAGCGAGGTGGAAGCCATGCGTCAGGATCAGCTTAAAACAACTGCATGAAATGAAATGTTTCACTGCTCGCCGTACGGGCTGTTGAGCTCGGTGTGCTGCCGAGCACAGTGAGCCCCCCCTGCTCAGCGAGCAGGCGATGGAGCTCGGAAGAGTAAAAATCATTTGGTGTCTGAGAGAGGAACGTCCATCTGGGTGCTCAGCTGTTCCACACAAGGACTTAGAACCAGCGCTGTGACGCCTCACAGCAGGCGACCGCGCTCTCGCTCCTCCCGTATGGTCGGGCGTGATGGATGGAGCCAACGGACGGGGAAACTTGCGACAGTGGAGAATAATAACAAAGCAGGCTTTCTGTTCGCAGAGGTCAGGCTCATCAGCATCGCCAACGAAGCGGATGAGTTTGACCTTCAAGGAAATCCTGCTGCACAGCCTCGACGTCCTGTTTGCAGGCTTCGTTTCGGCCGGTCTGACCTCTCCGCCCAACAGTCCAATATACCCGTTTGGGTCTGCACCTCTCAGACATCTAAGCACCTTGCAGAATACTAATTGGTAAACAAATATAAATAAAAGATGACCTTAAATAGCGTTCACCAAATCAGGAATCTTAAAAGTTGCCCAGGCGGTTTGCTTTGTATTCACACCCCCTGGTCTTCTCAGAGTTTGTTATGCTGCGACTGCAAACTTTTAAGTATTTCATTCATATTTTTCTTCGTGGAGATTAATTAAAATGAGCACAAAGTTGTGCAGTGGAAGGGAAATGATGAATGATTTTTGCAAATCACGACTCGCAAAAATCTAAACAAAACGCACCGTAACCATCTGCCTTCATCTAACACCACACATCACCCCGAACACACCATCCCCAACGTGAAACAAGATGGCGGCAGCATAATTGTCTTCAGCCGGGGCGGAGACGCTGGTTGGTGTTAATGGGTAGATGAATGGAGCTAATTAAATGGCAGTAATGGAAGAAAACAGAAGAATCTGAAGACGAGCGCAGGCCCATCGGGACAACAACCCCAAGCAAACACCGAGAGCTGCAACAGAACAGCACAGACAGAAGAAGCATGTGTTAACGAGCACATGTTAGTCAAAGTCCAGACCTAGATATCTATCCCAAAAGAATTGCTGTAGTTGTAGTAAAAGGTTATTTGTAATCGATTTTGAGAACCATCATTTTGCCATTCAAAATCCCAGTTGAAGCTTGTGGTAATAATGTGACAAGAAGGGGTGTGAATACTTTTGCAAACAAAGTGCTGCAATTATTGATTGTGAAGTCAAAATAGCAAAGCAAATGCAAATTACAGCTGAAATTATCTCCTGTGTATCTTTGTTATGTCAGGCAACAACTCATCCTGCCGTATTTGCTCAACATTCATGATGCAGCATTAGTCGGGGTCATGCATTCAAAAGCTTAAACTTTAAAATATGTCTGATTTGGACCCTGACCTTCCAACTCGCAAGTGTAGAGCGCTGTAGAGATTCAACTCTGAAAGGGGTTACGTGCAAACTACGGCCTGCAGCTTCCGACACGAGTATAAAACCATCCTCACATCCTCCTCTCAGAGGGAGGGAGCTCATCGCGGCGGGACTCGACATCCTCAAGGCATGGATCGGGAGAAAGCTGGGTGGAGATCAAACGTAAATCTGAACCATTGGTTTCTGCTTCTATTGCTCTTGGTCAGCCACTTCTGAAGAACGTTTCAGGTTGTAAGCTGTTAAGGAGTCGCCAGACGTAGACTGGCACAGCATGCATCGTCCCTTGTTCTCTGAAGGATGCCGTGTTGCTGGTCGCCGCTGTGGCCGGCACGTCAGTCCTTCAGATTGTCCTCTCCAACGCCCTGGGCCGACAGCTCCGTCAAGACATTGTCCAGGTAGTTGGGGTCAGGGTAGCCGTGGCCGGTCAGGTTGGAGCCAAACTCCGTCTTGTGGTGAATCTCGTTCCACACGACCGTGTCCGACTCTCCCGTGGTGCTGGATGTGCCGATGGTGAAGATGAGGCGGCGGTCCCACGCCATGATGAGGAGTTTAAGGACCTGGAGATTCAGAAGAAAAACAACAACGACAAAAACTTGTATAAATCCAACTTTGGACAAAAGGTAAAATAAAAATACAAGAAAAAATACTGGAGAAAAGCCAAGAAATCTTCTGGGGACTTCCTGCTTTTCTGATTGTTGATCAATCACAGAAAAACTAAAAATCAAATCTTTTTTTCCCCCTTCCAATCATTGAACACGTCATACATGAGCACAACCTGGACATGTTCAAAACAATGCTGCTCAAATTGAAAGCGTCTAGAAAACAAAGCGTATTTTCAAAAGGAGTCGTGTTGGAATCCAGTCAAGATGCTCTAGGATGGAGCTAGCCTCTGCTGGTTGTCATTTTTTCCCCCCTTTCTTCCATATTTTTCCAGTTTTACATCTTTCACACATTTTCGGTCATGAAAAAGAAGGTCGTGTCCCATCCACTTTGGACATATATAGTGTTCAGATAAGCTACTAACCCAGAGGTAGACATCAGCAGATAACAAGGAAGCTGAGCCTGTTACAGCACGGATGCTTTGTTTCATCCTTTTGAAGGGTCCAGTTTTGTCTGCCAACAGACAGAGTGGATTTGGAAATGTTGGCAATATTTTATAATAATGCTAACCATGCTAATTGTGTTAGTCAATAGGCTGCTAAAGAAAAGTTTTAATGGAAAACCTGCAATCCAGCAGACTCTGTTTTTAAATGACGTTTAACACCTACTGCTCTCTCTCATGCACACAGTGCAAGAAGCTGCTTCTGCTCCTTATACAGCTAACTTACGATCTGTTACCGAAAGGCTTCTTAAGGCTTATTCCTCTGCAGGACTTTATTGAATTCACCTACATGTGCAGATGCAGAGAGAGATCACTCCTTTATAAAGGAAGTAGAAAAAAACAACATTATTTCCAGTTCAGTTTGTAGATGTGTAGTGCTTTCACATCTACAAAACCGTTGATCGGCCGCAGATCATCCGCTGGCTCTGAGCAGCATGTTTACTTTCTAGGACAGCAGTCGGCGCTCACCCTCCTGCCTTTCTCGTTGTCGGGGAGGTAGCAGTGTCGAGGGAAGCCTCTCGCACTGAACTTCTTGCCGGGGTTGGGGTGCTCGATGGTCTGCCGAAGACGTGAAGAACAGAAAACACATTTTTAGACACTCTACTTAGAGCAAGTACAGCTTAACAATGCCGGAAATTTCCACAGCACCCACATGACGAGCTTTATTGTCAGCATTGCTTAAATAGCCTTAGGGGAGCGAGGATGCAGTGCGTACAGTACTTAATAATGTCTGAGAAAGGCTGTTTCAAGCCCCGCCTGCCCCATGTGGAAATAAAATTACATCATATTGATAAGAAAAGAAACCTGCAGTCGTTCCAACTAAAATCTGATATTAACATGTTGAGATTAATCGTTTTATTGTCCTCGTTTCTTTTGAAGAAGGTTCTGCTGTTCTTTCAGACATTTCCCTCAAACATCACAATAGCAGATCGCCTTACAAATAATATTGCAACGTTTTGCTCAAGCTTCAAAATCTTGAGTGTGGAGGGAGAGGGCACAGAGAAACTCAGCAGACCTCCAGTAACGTCCCTGCTAATGATGAATTGTGCTGCGGTGCTGACCGGAGCGGTCGTGACCTCAAGTATTCTGACACTGGGGACGCGGCGGCTTCTCTGCCGGTGGAGGGAAAAGGTCAGTTTATTGTCTCCGTTAATGCTAATCTCAGCAGTCAGGATAAAATACGCAGCACTCTGGTTTTCAGCTCCGACTGGGACTGTGCACGCCAAAAGATAAACCACACCCACAGCCTGAGGCCGCAGTTTCCTCCAAGTCCCAAGCACTTCACCTTTCTGGACAAGTGTCCATCTGACGAAATGAAGCAGATAAGCGCTTGAAGAGATTCAGATGCGGGGAGACAAGGCGGATCGATGCGAGGAGGCAGCAGCGGTGGATCCGGTGAAATGAGACGGGTCTCACCTGGATCCCGGCGGGGATGTCGTACACGATGCGGATAGTTTTGCATTCCGAGTAGCCGGGCAGAGAGTGGGGGATGACGTGGTACTCCATCTTCCCAGGGGGTTGGGTGCCTGTTTTCTCCCCGTAGATTGTCTTACACGTTGGGCACTGCAGGCTGCCGTCCTGGTCGCAAAGAAAACAAGCTTAGGCCAATCCCATGGTAATGACTGGCAGTTAAATAAAATACTCTCTCTGAGGCAATCTGAAGGCAATTTGTGATCGAAACTTTAATGTCCGAAAGTTAAAGATGCAGAAAAAAAAGAAGTAACTTTGTATTTAAAGTGAATCGGCATACGCAGACATGGTAAGTATATGTCAGTGACAGAAAGCTACTTGATTTAAAACAAAGAACGATTTAACCGATTCACACGATTTACAATTGCAAAAACAAAATATGCGACTGGATATATAAAAGTATAATTTTCAAGCTGCAAACTGCATTTCTGACTGCAGACTGGCCACCAGAGCAGATAGCTGGGCTAATTATTCAGTTTACATCTGGTGGTTATACTCTCTGTGCTAAAACGTAATTAACCTCTTTACGGATTTCATTTGCTTTTCGCTTTTTTAATGACACTTCAAGTTGTCAGAATATCAACTTTGTGTCAACTGAGACATGAAGTGATCATGTTTAAATATTTTATTGATTCTAAATGGTTAATCTTAGTTAGTTCATTATTAAGAAAAAAAAACAAGTCGGGCAGTTTTAACCCCCCCAAAAAATTCAATAAATGATCAATTTTCTTCTAAATTTATTATTTAGAAAAAAATAAATGTTTTATTTCCTGGATCATATTTGTTTGTTGTATAGAAGGTAATTAGAAACAGTCTGTCATTTACATACTGTCAAGGTTTTTGTTGTACTAAGCATATTGTACTAAAATCAGCACATTAAAGTTGAGCTGGATGAAATGATGCATGTTCTTTTTTTTTTTCATAACTCCAGCAAATAAAAGTAAAAAAAAAACTAATTACAGTTGCATTTCAGAGTAAAGTCTAAAGTGAGAAGTGATGTGAAGTTACACTACTTAAAAAGGTTAAGTAACACATTTAAAAATGTTTTTTTTTAGAAAAAAATGAAACCTGTTAATGCACAACATTCGTTACAGTGAACCCGTGTAGGTGGTGATTAAGTACTTTGAATACTCATTGAAAGGCATTGTTATAATTTGTAAATGCCATATTTAATGTTATGATTAGCACAAACGCTGAAAACTGAAAGACTAAACCTTTTAAACTGTCTCCACGCTGCTTGTTAGCTCCCCGCGCTTTTTAAGATGCAATCAGGAGAACCAGTTATGGCCCACTAAATGTGCTTTCTGCATTTCAAGGCGTCAAAGTGAAACGAATAGGATTTACTGTTATTCTACGGAACGCTACGCTGACACAATTGATCCGCCAAGAGCGCATAAGATCCCCCAACTGCGTGCGCTGCAGTTTCTGGGACCAACAATTTACCAATGTCATGAGAACCAGTCGAGATCTAAGGTACCGAAAGGTTTATTTGAGCCTGGAGCGACATCATAACAACGTCTGGCTCGCAAGCTTTTACCCACCTTATTGCCATTGTTGTACATGGCCACCAGGCACAGCAGATGGTACATGTGACCACATTTGCCAAGTTTGCCCACCAACTCTGGCTTGATGCCTTTGTGCTGCAGGATGCCTTCGTAGCCCGATGACATCGCCAGCCTCTCCATGCAGATGGTACAGTCCTGGAAGAGCCAAGCAGAAATATCTCTGCTGCTATGGTTGTGTGTGTGTGTGTGTGTGTGTGTGTGTGTGTGTGTGTGTGTGTGTGTGTGTGTGTGTGCGTGTGTGAGAGTCTTTCACACCCAGTTAGGATGCTGAATAGTGACAGATTGCATCTGTTGGTAGATGGGAAACTTTTTTTTTGCTGTTTTTTGTTTTTTTTCAGTTCTCACCTCGTCTGGCGCCACTTTAATCTTCTCTGTGTATCTTCGGACCACATCCTCCGGGTTTTTACCTGGTTATGAAATCACACAAAAACAAAAGATACTCCAACGAATTGCAGCAAAATCTGAAATGTGATAAGGAGTCACTTTTTGGGCTTTAAAACAAATGAATCTTTGATTGCAGAAGCACAAACTCGCTCTGAAAATGTCAGAAAAATTAAAATACAGATTATAAAACAAGTAATTGTGATAATGCAAATTATAAATGAGATGTCCATTTTGGTCCAGCACAAACTTCTCTGACCCGACTGTCTTTCTACGGCGCTCCTCCCCAACAGGTTTTCTATGACTTAGGTCTCAGGTTCTCAATGGGATAATGTTGATTTTATGTTGGATGAAGCGTTTCTGTTCATTAGGCAACATTAAAAAAATCACTATCCCGCTGAAAGACTCAATGCCGACCCATTTTCATTATGGATAGTTTCATTACTTATTATGCCATGCACTATTGCTACATAGGCTTCCTGTGGCCTTTGGAAAAGATGCATACCCACATTCGTCATCGTACGCAACACTGGAGGGCTTTTCCACATTTTGCACTTCGTTTCAAGCCACACCTGCACTGGGATGCCCAAAAAAAAATCTTCATATTCTGACAAACCAAAGCATAAAATTCCAGTTCAGCTGCTAGCAGAGTTCAGCAAAATCCATGTTTATGTTTTTAAAATTATGACGAAAAAGATTTTCCTCCCGACATCATTATTCCCTGGTTTGTGGCCGAGATGTGAACTGCGTTTTTAACTTCCCTTACCGTATCCTGCGCATAATCTATGGTGACAAGATAAATATGGGTCCTCCTCTGGCCTAGAGGCCAGTGGCTAAATGAAACGGTCCTCTGTATCATGACATATTTAAACCCTCAGGGAAACAGCAGGTCATTTATTATTAATTAAACATTCCTAGAAACTGGAACCTTAAAATAAGCCTTAAAATGATCTGGTTTAATCTAGATACCAATAATTACTTCTTTTACTTCTTGTTGTGGGATTTTATCGCTACTTTACAACTTAAAGGTTCGATTTTTCTACATGTTTCAGACCGAGACATAAATTTATCTTAAAATATTGTTGCATCTTAAAAACATTGTGTTTGTAAATGTGGCACTGGGATTTTTACCGACGTTTTTATAATAAGAAAATATGCTTTGCCCGGTATTTGGTACAGACATGTGATGTTAAAGAGGAGGTCACCTTCAAACCGGCACATAACAAACAGCCTTTCCCTACACTGTCTGATAATCCCTGTGAGCAACCAGACTACCATGGCTGAGAGCACACACACACACGCACACACACAGCTTACACCCCTAATACGCTTATAGGCAACCTCTTTCCCCCATGAGTCTTTGTTTGTTCATTTGAGGCACAGCCAGCGAGCAAAAGCAGGGGCAGCGGTGGAAAGAGACAGAAAGGCTTCAGCACAGAACAGGCAGAGAGGGAGGAGAGAGATATAGGTGCATGAATAAAGTATATTGCACAACTGGGAGGGCTTAAATAGTGAGATCAGAAACCTCCCAGCCATTTTTTTATGTGCAATAAGCAGTGAGAATTAAAAAAAAATAAATAAATAAATAAAATAGAAACTCCCCTCCATGCTAATCTCCAGGCTGCTCAGTGCCACCCAGTTTTTACGTGAGTTTTAATTCTACGATTGCAGGCAGGGACGACATCCCCACTAATAATGGTCACAAAGTCTATCATTTCTGATATCATTGTCATTGTAAACTTATAAAAAACACACACAAAAACACACATTTTCAGCAAAAAAACTTGTCCACCACTTTGATTTTTTTTTTACTCAGTAATAAAATTGAAAGGGAAATGACCATTTTCTTTACTGCAGGTAGTTTTTGACTCAATTATTCACAACATCAGAGGCGCCAATGTAATTAAAGCCAATAACGATTGCTAAGTTCTGCTGATAGCCTGAGGAAACACTGACAGTAAATCAGCCTGCACTGGAGCAGGTTATTCCCTAAAGGGAGACGGATCTTATTAATACATGAGTGCATTTCCTGCTACGTTATGCCAAGTTTCCTGACTGTGAAATTGTCCTATATCATCCAGTTCCTATATATCCGATTATTAACCTGGCACCTAAATCCTGTTATAGCTTCTTTTTCAGCGTTGGCACTTGTCTGACCTGAAATCCATCTGCAGCTGCCAGTACAGGATGTAGTTTGTAGCTTCAGCCACAAACACGCGGCTCGAAACTTGGCACGAAGCGTTCCTGGGTTACGGTGAACTCGCAAATCTGGCAACACTCCAGCCGCCTTGTGAGGTTTTCTAGTGTATCCCCAGACTGAAGAAGGAATCTGCTTGTTTACAGGTTCTCCTCGGTCGCTTTGGCGCATTTCTCGAATCGTTTTCGAGAGCCGCAAAGCGGTGGGAGCATTTTTCGAAGCGATTCGTACAAAATAGCAAAGCAACATTGCTGTTTCTTCCTCAAAATCCTCAGTTCATTTGTCAAAATTAAATCTCGGTATGGATAAACTCGACTGTGCTTCAGAGTGTTAAGTACTAGTTTCATTAGTTTGGATAAAACAATAAATTGATTGTCATCAATATAGGAGAGAGAGGGATATTTTGCTGCAAACTGTCTAAACTTTTGATGACAAGAATTGTAAATTGGACAAGATTCACATTTATTTATTCATTTATTTTACTATAATTTGTCAGTGACATAATCTCCACTAATCTCAACCACTAAGCTTTATCGTTGCATTTGTGTAAAGACTTTGCCATGTGTGCTGCACTCGCACAGTAAAGCGTGTGAGTGCAGCAAAGGGAAACTTAAAAGGCCAGCCGAGAGGACAAATGCACTGTCACCCCAATCAATTATGTGTCCTGCGGTCCAGGCTGCTCCACTGGGAGGCCTGCACTCATCAACCAGCAATTAACTGGAGGCCAGATTGCTCCACCCAGACAACATACAGTGGATACAAAAGACAACACAACTGTTAAAATATGTACAACATATAGAATTCACAGGATGCAATGTGGCGCAGTGGGTAGCACTGTTGCTTTGCAGCAAGAAGGTCCTGGGTTTGATTCCTGGCCCGGAGTCTTTCTGGACAGAGTTTTCATGTTCTCCCTGTGTGTGTGTGGGGTTCTCTCTGGGTACTCCGACTTCCTCCCACAGTCCAAAAACATGACTATTGGACCATCTTCTGATTTAATTTTATGATTATTGTATTGATTTTGACTTGTGCTTGGACTCTCGGTGAAGTTGGAAAACAAGATCGCCCTCTTTCCCCATCTCTCTCTAGCCAGCACTGGTACAAGACTTTTGGATCAGATCCGGATCTGGCATTTTTACACAACACGACAAAAAGTCTACAGTGACATCTGAATAAAAGCAAGGAGAGAAATGATGCTGCCACCACCGTGTGTCCCTCTGGGTCTCTTGCTGCGGTTGTACCGTTGACGTTTGGCTACATCAGACAAAAACTAATGGACTGCGGTGCCACTGCTCTGCCTCAGTGGAAATCAGCCATTTTAAGATAAGCGGCACGTCAAATCGTTGACATGCACTGGATACACTTTCAAACCCAAACGTAAATTTTGTTCACTTTCACCAAATTACGATTACAGCTTAGTGGAACATTCTTCAAGGTAAACCATCATTTTATGTCGCCAGCTGTCCAGAAACGTTTTGCTAACGTCAGCAGAAAACACTGATGATTATAAAGTATTGTAATCCAAGCAGAGCCTGCATGATAACCTTCAACAGTTTATTTCAGAGGATGGGATGAAATGTAAACAACAGACGGACAGACAGCTGATACAGACGCACTGCCAAACTTGGCAGGACACTCGGCTGCGAGTGAGTAGATCGGCGATTCTTTCGCCGCAGAGTCTGGGACTTCCAGCCTCAGTTTGTTTGCTCTGATCAGACCGGTTTCCTCAGACTCACCTCTCTTCAGGTGCTTCTTCTTGGTTTTGCGCCGCATGCCATTGATCCCTGGCACAGGCTTCATGTCACTCTTGTTGATGGGTGGTGGGTGCAGTATAGGCTTTGGAGCTCGAGTCAGACAAACGGGTAGACCTGCAGCGCACATCAGGATACCTGTCATGCCTGATACATATGTACACACGCACACGTAAACACAGAGAAGAGTGGAAAAAGAACAGCGATAGTCACTCATTTCCTTTGGGATAAATATTTATAGATTAAAACATTTTGAGGGTGGGGAGGGGGATCAGACATTTGCACGGAAAGAACCTCTTCTTGTTTTCTTTCTTCTTTTTGTTTTTTAGAAAAATATGCTGCAAGCGTGGTGATTTCTAACCTGCTAGCGCCGGGTGCACAGGTCCAGACCCGGTCAGGTTTTTCACTGGTAAAGCAGGAACACTGCAAGGAGAAAAAGCCAAAAACAGAAAACAGAAGTGAGTAATGTTGCCGACAGTAAATGGTCCAAATGGTGTAGCACTGCTTGAGATCTGAGAAGATGAAGAAGAAAGAAAGCAGCCTACTGTTCCCTGCATCCCAATATAAATACTGAAACTAAAATGCCATGCACTTCAACAGACGCTGCTGCAATGGGTTGAGTCGGCTTGACTCATGCACAAAGCACCACAGCGGAGCCTGATTCAGGATGACATTTGGAGAGCTTGGACTTTGTGGCGAACACAGGCGACAGTTCACTTGTCCACATTTCAAACTCTCTGGAGCAGAGCGGACAAAAGCCGGCGCTGTATTAATAGCGCAGAATCCAGTGACTCTTTCCGAGGGCCCGAAACCTCAATTCAAACGGCGTCGCCCCGCTGAGCAGAGCTCAGGAACCACAATCGCCTCTTCTGACTCAAAACACGATGCTGCGCAGCTGATGCCAAAGCTCAGAAGAGTAATTGTTTCTGAAAGTTTTAGAGAGGCTTGTTTTAAATCACATTGAACTTCAGAATAATAATTAAAAAAAAACATACCCAGAACAAGAAGTTCACTTTTTAGAAACGGTCCCATTATAAACTGACAAGAAATCAGAGTTGTTGTTTTTTTTCATTTTTAGCTCCATCGCTGACTGTTCGGTCGGTAACTAGACGATCCAATATTTTTACGACCAGAAAATACACCAAGCCCGCCAAGGCACCGGAAAGTTCTGATGTAAAACAACACTCATCAGTGACGAAGTTATTACTGAAGAAATAATCAAAGCAATTCCTCTTGTTGTTAAAAGACTATCCGGGAGAAGAACAGCACTTTACTTCTCACCAGCTACTTTTGTAAACATTTTCTAAAGTTAGTCATAGTCGACTATAACACCAAGAAACACCTTCTCACGTTTCTTTGGGCCAAAAAAATCTGATCTTCTCAATACGAATTTATTCGCCAAACAAATTCACTGCCAGAAATGTGGCTTGACTTTTTTTTCTTCCTTACTTTGTAATTTCTTTCAGAAGGTTTTATTTTAAAAATCCTGAAAAGTTCTCGGTAAACATTCAGTCACTTCCAGAAACACACCCCAATGAAACTGGTTCAAGACTCCTGCAAAACTTTGTGTTTAAATTTTTTTTTACAACAAAATTCTAAATGTGGGGAGTACATTCTTCCTGTTGCTTTTGTTGGGTGACAAGCAAGCACAGGACTTATGGTACCACTATATATGACGTGATCAAACTTACTGTTTTTGTGCTGAACTAAATTTGCAGTGGCCATAGTGACACTAGCACTTGCAGCATACGCAGTCAATTTACTTGATCTGCCTTAAAGATAGTTGGGTTTAATGTCTGTGTGCTCCAGCATAGTAATACATTAAAAAACACACTGGTCAAGACGAATTTTGACCTACGGTTTCACAAAGCACCCCGAGTCGTTCCTTGATTGAGGACAGTAATTATCTGTCTTTCTACAGTCTGCACATAAATGAGGACCAGAGGCTTTGGAGGCTTCAGCTTACATATAATGTTTGCAAAACTTCAGTTCGAAAAGGAGTAAGGAGCAGACGAGGCAAAGCAGGGCGCGCATCAACATAGACCCCACTGGGTCTGCACTGACCTGACAGACACGAAGCACACTTATCTGTTGTCCTTTAATCTGACCCTCCCACGTTTATCAACCACAAACCGGCCTGATGGTGCACACAGGCCTTTGAATCTTGTTCCCGTTGCCCGTTGTGGACCGTCAGAAGGACTCCAGAGGAGCACAGATCCACATCGGCAGGGCGCTTTGATACAAGTGAGAGCCCTTTGTTCCTGTGCCAGGGGATGATGCCCTTCAGTAAATTAAATGCAACAACAGAAGCAGGACACGAGGTCATGTGTCCCATCCTTTCTGTAGCATGGGCGGTTTCTCACCTCCTTTTTGGCAGGAATTTAGCAGGGAGAGTGGAACGTCTTTGTTCTGATTTGCTGATTTTATTTTTCCTTATTTTTCTTCTAACCACAAATTTCAACCAACACAAATCACAAAACCTTTCCATAAAGTATGCAGTGCAGCCACCTTTTCATTCGACACCCCTACATAAAATCCAGTTGCAACCAATTTCCCTCAGAAATCATCTACTTGGTACGGAGAGTCTATAATGTCAGGATATGTTCAGCTACATCTGCACACTTTCAACACTTTAGTGATAACTCTACCTGGTGTTGCTGCTTTGCACTGCTTTGTGTTGGTCTGTTGCATGAAAACAAATACACTGGTGTTGTGGTCATGCAATAAGGGAGTGTGAAGATTTCGAACGGAACTGTGAGTGCGAGCATGCAGTAGCCGAAAGAGCGAGAGATTTTCCAGCAACAGAGAGTGATTTCACACCTTAAACCGCATCAGAGGAATTAATGTTATCTCTCAGCCCAGAAAAGAAAAGCTGAAACAAAACAAGAGTCAATACTTCGAGACACGCCGCTGCCCCTTCACTCAATAAAGGTATCAGCTTGATTGAGAGCCCAGCCAGTGTTTTGTTTCCACTCCTGTGGATAAAGGAACGCTAGCTTAGCAGTGAATTTCAAAGGTAAGGGAGATGGCATCAAATGAACGAAAAAAATAAATAAATAAGTAAAATAAAATTATGCTGCCTGGTGGGAAATCTTTCTTTTCACTTAAATGCACACTTAAATGGAAGCCAAATGAGAGCATATGAGGGACAACATGCTTCTGTTTATGTGTGCTTGTATAATTCATGGCACCCACAGATCATTTACATCAGGGCAAGGAGTGGGTCAGAGCAGCCAAAGGGCCTTCAGCATAATGTACTGTCTGCTCGTACATTTTGTTCCAGCATCACGGAAAACATTTATCCGGCATCATGGAAACACGGCTCGACGTTTAATAGGGATGCCGTTTTGTCTCCCATCACAATAAATGTATCGATACAAACCTTTGGTCAGTTTTTGTCTGCTACAGACGGGGAGAAATAATCCCTAGTGTTGGGGACCTTCCATTAAAATATGATTCTATTCTCTTCCTGTGAATATTTTGTTTTATTATTAAAAAGCACTGCGTTTCATTGTCCATGTTAAGCGGAACATTCATATATATGAGTTTAGAAAGGGATCAGTGTGTGAATGTTGTTTGTATTTTCAGGTCAGCCGAAGTAGTGAAAACGTTACCAAAAGTCATTGCATGTTTGTGACATGAAGTTGCAAGACGAAATGGGCGCTGCTGGATTGACGGAAATATGACCATTTCAGTCGAAGCAGATAAGCTAAGTTTCTGTGTTGAAGAACGTAGCAGCCGCACTCCTTCCTCCTCTCCGGTTCACTTTAAATATAGAAGTGTCCCTCATCCCGAGGCAGCGACCCTGTCCATCACGGCTGCACCTCAAGCCAGCTCCCTTCAAACAGTGATGACAGCTGCACGACTTCCAGGGTTCATCCGTGGAGTAGCTCCCCCGTTCGTTCCTGTAAAGCGATTGATGAAACGTGGCGCAAAAATCAAGCAGCTTTTTTTTTTTCTGTTTTGTTTAACCTATATTTTGCATGTGCAATCTCCAGCAGACTTACAAAGCAGGTCACTCTCTCAAACTACAGGCAGACACAAATATGTCCCATGAAGGTTAAGAGATCATAATCAGCTTCTGTGCAAATAATGATAATCTTTTTTTTGTTTGTTTTCCGTGCAAAGAGCTTTTTACAAGACAGGAGGACAAAAAGATGCCAACTCTGACTCGGTAGCCAACCAGGCAACAGATGTTCTCGCCACAAACGGAGCAGGTGCAGAGGCGATCAAAGAGAGGAAGAAAAATATTTCCTCACAGAAAGCGCCAACATCTGTGAGAACATCTGATTATTATTTTTTTCCATCATAAAAGAGTGTGCTCTGAAGGAAACAATGCGTCAGACTATAAAATCATGCAGTACTCTCTCAAGGTATGGACTGTTCGGACATGTGTGGGGAGGCTTTTGGAATATATTACATCGTTTTCACCCAAAATGAGGGCAGGTTGTATTTACAGAGGGAATAGATATGGAGCTCTCTGTAGTCCAATGGGATTTTCAACACAGATAAGAGAATTTATTCAACTAGAGAAACAATTTAGCAAATTTATCAGGCTGAACTTTATCATCTGTGGTACTTTTTGATCCTCCTGTGTCAAAATCCTAACCTACTTTAAGGAAGTTTGTGATATTTCAGGTTGTAAATCTTGATGTTCTTTGAGAATTTGTCCTTAAAAGTTTAATGCCTCAGTTAAATCTGGTCAGACCTCCTGGGTGCAGCGCGAGGTTCATTCTGCAGGGAAAATCCAAAAGCTCTCACAAAGTGTTCAGAAATTTGCAACATCCTGTGCTCATGTTTTATTTGTCTCTCCTTCTTAAATACAAAAAAAAAAAAAACAACCCAGAGTTTATTTCCAACACTTGGCATAAAAACGGAGGGATGGCTAAACATAAGGCGCTGATCTGAACAGACTCTGATCTTTGTTTTGTTTTTGAAATCTCAAACTAAATCGAGGCTTGTTTTTGGAGCCACGATTTAAACTAAATCTAATCAGTCAAAAAAAAAAAAAAAAAAAAAAATTCCCACACCTCACTGTCAAAACGGCGGTGTGGGTCTGCGCTCAGACGTAACGTATCGCAGCACGACATCAGCATTTCCTCTGCGATTCTGCTGTTGTGGCGCTTCGGTGCGGCACAAAACCTTTGTCACCTCTGCGTTTCTTCTTGCGGCGTGAGAACAACTTTTGCTTTTCCTCTCAACTCGCGTTCGCCTCAGAGTTTTTCTGTCTCTGCTGTCCGTTTTTTCTTTTTTTTTTTTAAAAATCTTATGCAGGACCATGTCTGAGGTCTCTTGCTCTGGATTTTTTAAAGTCAGAAGAAACACATTTAACTGTTAAAGACTCTGCAGCTTCATTGCTGATGCTGTAATGCCACGTTAATCACGGCCTCTGGCAGGTCGGGGCATCTGGATCTGGATCGGCGCCATTCTTTCACTCCTGATGCGAATGCTCAGCTTTCTTTTAGGGCCTAATCGAACGCCATCCTTCATTTAAACTGGGCTTAACTGGCATTAAGCCCAGTTTAAAAAGAAATGCTGATAAAAAACTAAAATCCACTTCACCTGCTCATCATGCATCATAAAAAAAAGAAAAAAATGCAGATAAAGACGTATTATTAAACTAATGTTTAATAAGTACAGCAGGTTGGACACAAAGCCGCTTCTCCCTGCAGAGGTGGAGTTGGAGCAACACTGAGACCAGCAAATTTCAAACTAGCTTCGGTTTGGCCCACATAATCCCTCATGATTTATTTATTTGCTATAATATTCATTTTCGTCCTGACAGGAAGCGTCTGAACAAAGCGACGGAGCAGCTCGATGGAGAATAATGATCCGTTTGCTCCTCGTCTTCGCGGGCCCCCCGGTCGGCTCCCACATTAGCATTTCTACCTCCAGGGCCTCATGAAAACAGCAAACGTGGTTCAATTTTTATTTTATTTTTTTTTATCCTTTTCAGCAGAAAACTCAGCTGTTGGGTTTTTCTCTCTCTCTCTCTTTTTGGTATTACATTTTGTTTTTACTCATCAGAAGGAAATTTAGCAACGCAGACACCAACTCTGCTAAACAAAAGAGGAAGTGGTTTCCTCAGTGAAAAAAAACAAACACTCAAGACCGTGTGAACTATCCTGTCTGTTTATTCCACCACAAGGTGTTACACACAAATAAATCATAGACCACTTTTGAATAACTACTTGCTCAGTGAGAGTTTTCTTCTGCTTCTGCCTTTTTCTGCAACACCTTCATTTGTCATATTGTCAAAGAAGTGTCGATGTGAGAAATTCATTAAAGACCTAACAGACCAGGATAAATAATTAATAATTGTACTTTGAGGGCTGACAGGACAAAAGTTTAACTTTTTGGAAATGTCGTGTCCCGTGACGTCTGCTGTAAAACTGACAGCCTCACAGAAGGACAACGGAGTCAAATCTGCGCTTCAAATCCCCGGACAACTTTCCGTAAATAATGACGCCGTGAATTCTGGTCAGCCTCCTGAAGGAGAACGTCCGACCTTCACTTTTTGACCTTCGGCATGGGAGCAGGGCAATGATCCAAAGCACAACGGCAAGTTCACCTCTGACCTCTGCCCAGGCAAATTCCAGACTTAGACGTAACAGAGACGCTGTGGGATGACTTCAAACAGGTTTTCCATGCAAAAAAGAATGAACCAAGTTTTCTCCATCCCTCTGAGAAAATTGCCATCGGCAGTAAAAGCTTCATCAGAGCGTCTAAGCTGTCTTAGGTACCTAGTTTTATTTTTGAGCCTGTGTCAGTGTCCCCCCTCTACACCCATCTCACCCATCTCCCATTTGCTGATATCACAAATTTGAAAAGATACTCACTGAAAATGAAAGTTTGTGCAACGTCTTTGTATATTTATGCATCTGCTGACGGCTGCACTATTATTCCCTGGGACTCAGATTGAGATCAGATGAATGCGAAAGAAGTACAAAACCAAAAGAAGCAGCTCCGGTGGCTGGACCAGGGCAGTCCAGTTTTCTCCTACGCCGATTTGTCGACACAAACCAGCAGATGGTGCCACCTCTAATATTTGTGCAAGCGAGGCTTGAAGCTCACAACCCCCACCCTCTTTACAGCTTACGGCCAGTTGTTTTATGACACGCTGGATAGAGATCAATATATCAACAGCAGCTGTTGCCATCAAACAATGAACATCTCATACCAACATTTATGACACAGCAAGAATACATAAAAAACATGCGAGATTCTTGGAACTTTTCGCGTCGATCTAGAGAATCGACCCGCGATCAGAGGCTGTTTTCTGCACGTAAATTCAGCCGATCAAAACAAACCGCTGTGTGCCAAAAACCTTTCCTGCACCCAACAACAGTTAAATTAGGGCGTGGGTGTGTGAAAAAAGCAGTGTGATGTTTTACACTCTGCGTGGGCTCCTCTGTTATCTGTGTGTAGCACACACTTGTGGGAACGCGCGCTGGGAGTTTGCTGTGCCCGCGTGAGATTGCAAGCTCTCATGTCCTGCTGTGCGCATGTTAACCACACTCATCCTGTACGTCGAGCCACTCGCCTGGGAACCGATCTGCTCCGCCTTGCGCTCGACACCACCGCCCCCCCGCACCCCCATCTGTTTTCCTCTCTCTACCACTGTGGGTCTCAGTGCTTCTGTGCCTCGAGGTGAGAAAGTCACGTTTTTACCTACGACTCTGCTTGGCTGAGCTTTGACTGAGTCCTGAATTTCCAGAAGAGATGTCCCTGAATGGGATGACCCCCCGGGGGCGTTTCAGTGACCCGAGTCGGGCCGCAGAAAGCAAAAGCGCTTCAGCACACAGTAGTTGCAGGATGTTATTCTAGCAGTCACTTTAGTGTGTTTCTCCCCAGAAGCACAAAGAATGAAAAAAAAATAAATAAATCAAACTAGAGCAGGGAGAGGGTTTCATATCACGAACACAAGCGAGCGTCCAGCTTGGACATCAGTGTCGCCACCATGTTGTGAGCATCATTTCGCAACCCATAAAAATGAAAAGACAAAAAACCCAAAATACAGAACCAATAAAAAATAAAAATAAAAAAAATGGCAGAAATGTTATGAGACGTACACAACACTGCTAAGTTGACATCTCTCCAAAAGATTCCTGACCTCGTCCATGAAAAAGGGGAAACTGATAAATTACTGTATTCAAGCTTATGTTGCTTTTTCCTTCCACTCGATTTTCCAGAGACACATGAAGTCTAAGAGCAGTGTAATATAAAGCCCACTTATGATGCTGAGTAAAATTCACAGGGCATGCTGAGACTGGAGCCTGGACCAACTCGAAACATCTTCATGTAATTTCACATCTTCCATAATTGTTCGGGCAATAAACTACTTACAAACCAAGGAAAGACCTTCACACAGAATATCCATGACAACTCTCCATGTCCTTTTTGCCCTTTATGTCTTCTTAATAGCACTATTTAAAGTATTTTTTTTAGATATTACCATTTATTAAGGTGCTTCACATAATAAAAGTTTTACATAAAACAGGTAAACTTCAGAAACTTTACTTTGTCAAGCTAAAGCAAATGAAAGAAAATACACTCTGTGATGTGTAGCTTACCCACATTTTAAATACATTGTTTTCTACAGATGGTTCTTCTTAATTGCTGTTTTTTTTATATCTCAGTGATCGCCAGTTTTTGTAAATAAGCAGAAATAATTTTAGCAAAAACAATTCAAACTTGAGTTCTAAAAACCCAGGTCGTTGGTTTTCAGGCTGTTGCTCGCAACATGGCCGACGCTAGCGTATCTTTTCGATCATGCAACAAAGTCGAATGAGTTTCTACTTTGTTTCTATGTTTAGGTTTATTGTAATGGGAGGGAGAAAAAAAAACAGGATCAGGGACAAGGACTGCTTTGAACGTGAACAAACTTCCTTTTCTTGGTTCGTTTTCTCTGAACTGCACTGAGGTCAGCACCATGCTGGCGCTCTGATTTTCCCTTGATCCATTATTCATTCTTCCCCGCTGGAGCTCTGCTCGTGGCAAACAGGCTTCCAAAGCTACGCCAGCGCCCTCTTCGCACTTTGCCCATCAGTCACTCCACGCACACAAGTGTCAGAAACGACGCGCAGTCAAACAAAGACGCTGATAAAAACATCCCCCCACCCCTCCTCACACACACCCGACTCGCCCCGTCAGACTCCTTAACTTCCAAGCGACTCAACAACCCCAGCGCACCCTGATAGCAACAAATTAGTTCAAAGCAGAATGATCCAGAAGAGCTGCAGTATTTCACGCCTACTGGGGCCAACATAAGCTCATTATGGAGCAGACACACACACACACACACACACCCACACACACCCACACACACACCACACACACACACACACACACCACACACACACACCACGCACGCACGCACGCACACACACACACACACACACCCCCACACGCACACGCACACCCCCCCCCCCACACACACACACACACACACACCCACACACACACACAGACACACTCGCGCGCACGCACACACACACACACACACACACACACACACACACACACACACACACACACACACGCACACACACACGCACACAGGGAAGGAAAGGGAGGATTCTGGCACACAAAACTAAGCTGAAGATTTTTTTTATGAATCCTCTGCAGATCCATTGATCAGCATGTTAAAAGAGAGCAGTCATAAATCAGAGTAAGAAGTGGAGAGAGAGTGAAAAAAAAAGAGAAAACAAGTACAGAAAATCCGACACGTTCAGCGTAAAGCCTTGTGAGGCAAACATGCTGTTTTTTTTTCTTTTTTCTTTTAAATATTCAATCTAATGTCTAAGTTGATTCTGAGCTTTATGCTGAGGCAGTAACACGCGAAGGCTGCGGTGGACTTCAGAGAATCTCAAGGAGCAAAAACAAACAAACACCGTTACCCGGGTGGGATGGCTCCTCTGGTGGTCCCCATGGAAATGCGCTGGGTGCCTGGCCGGTTCAGATTGTTCTGTCCGTTGATGGTGAGCGCGCGGTGACCGTGGGAGGATGAAAGCGATGGCATCACCGGGGAGCAGGGGAAGTTGGCAGAAGACAGCGGCGACTGCACCTGTTCGGCTTTCGACTGCCCACCTCCCACACTTATGTTATTGTGGTTGGCACCGGAGGAGCCGGACGTCGGGGACCACAGGGAGGTTCCAGCGAAGGTGTTGCTCTGCCGCACGCCGCCGAGGGCTCCCGTGGCGCCCGGGTTGCCAGCCGTCCCTCCGTAGTGCTTACGCCGCTGCGAGGCCAGGATGGCGTTGGAGGCAGCTCTTGTACTGTTCACCAGGATGCACTGCTGGCACGAGCAGGGCTGGCCAGAGCTGGCACCCACGGGCCACGACTGGGACTTGGGAATGGAGCCCATGATGAGCGGGTACGCCAGGTCCATGCGTCTCCGGAGGCGGCGCTTGCGCTGACTCTGCCGGTTGGTCTGGGACATGCTGTTGAAGTCGATGAGGTAGCAGAAGCCCAGAGAGGTCAAGTCCAGCCACGGGTGCTGCTTCTCGTAGGCATTCTGGATGGTCACGCAGATCTCCATGTCGTACGGCGTCCACGAGCCGTTGTCGTTCTCCCACTCCCACACCACGCCTTTCCCTGGGGCCGACGACGGCTCGTAGAAGTTCCTCTGCACGGGCCTCATGGTGCCTACGAGAAAACGGAGAAAAGTACAACGTGAAAATGACGTCTTGACTTGAATGGTAAACACTTTGGTGAATGAGAGGATTTGCAACTTCTAGTTTTGCAACCCTAACCCTTTTGGTTGCCTGTTACTCAATCCCTGTATTGCATTAAGTCTGAAGCATCGTCAGGCATCCTACAGGTGGGAAATATATTTTCTGACTTTTTTTTTTCTCTCCTGCCCACTGCTACCCAGCTGCATGAAAGACCTAAGTTTTTCATGCCTTTTTAAAAGAAAAATTCAGTAATGAGTCATGAATCAACATTATACTGAAAATATTTTCAGTCAAACTAAAAGAGCACCACCAATCAATATTACTAAAGTTTATTGAATTTTAAAGATGTCTGACTATCACTATGTGTATAAATATATATGTGGCACACAACAAGTAGTCATTAAGTGTTCAGATTACTGTTTTATACATGAAATAATAAATATGTTTAGATATTTTACCAGCGAGTAGATCACATTTTTGCTCTCGTTTCAAATAAAAGTGATGTTGTTTTGGGGCTTATTTCAACTTTTTGTGTAAATAGAAAATGAAACCGTGTTATTTTATATTCACACTGAACTATAGTGAGTACAGACATTTCCTCCAGACCAAATGTTTTCAAGTTTCAGGCACATCGAATACAATATGTGGTGTTGAGAAGACATGACGCGCTGATGGAAATGAGGGCCAGCATTGCTCGGTTGGCCTGAGGGAAGAACAAGTCTGATGCACAAACTGATAAATTCTTCACCCTCATATAGCTGCCACTTCACATAAAAGTGTAAACTTGGCCTTTGAGAAGAAATAAATAAAACACACACACACACACGTCATACCCACAATCCCTTACTCGGTAAGTTTGCCACTCTTCTGTATGACGACAGGGCTGAAGGGGACTTTGTGCCCATGGGCACTCAGCTCCCTCCTCCCTCCACAATCACCGTGGCCCCATGGGAAATCAGGACACCTCAGCCTATCCATCTCCACGCCACACATAAACAAAGGTATCCAGGCGCTCCTGCAGAAAGCGTCGCCCCTGTTCCTCCCCCAGCTAATTTAACGGCTAAACGCACAGTCCCATGCCAGGGAGAGCCGCGGCAATGACGGAGGAAAGGGAGTGTGTGTGGAGAATAAATAGGCGTGGGATTGGCACGGGTTGAGCAGGGCCGCTGGGCAGCGGTAACCCCCTCATTTGGCAGTTTGGCGCCAACGCAAGGGAATAAACTGCATCAGCAGAAACGCCGACTCTGACCTTGATTGCGTCCTGCAGTCTGCTGCTAAAGGACTCGGTTTGGTGGCTAATTTCAGTCTGAGCCGTGTGCTCACAGATGACTAGTCAGCCAGCTGCATGCGTCTCTCACATCTCCACCCAGCCATCCGTGCACAAATCTGCACCAATGTGTGAGCGTCTCTTGCAGGTGTGCCTCCTTTTTCTCAGAAGAAAGCCAAAACACACAACGTCGTTTGATAAGTTTCAAAATGAAACCTCTTCCACGCGTTCTTTGAAAGTCATGTTCTGCTCTCTGTAGAAGAGAAAGGCTCTGTGATGTTTCAGTTCCTCAATGTGGCTTTTTTTTTAAACAGATGTGCAACATGCAGGTATGATTTAAATTGATGTAAAAAATCAACAGCTAAATAAGCTTTGGGCAAATTTTATAAATAATGGAACAAGTACAGTTGCTTATGCCCAGGCCTCAATTTATCCATGAAAGCTAATAAACAGTCTTTCATTTTGAAGGCTGTTTATTAGCTGAAGCTGATGTGACAAAAATGCATAACACAGATGTGACCATATTATGTGGTTATTGTGCAACAGTTACTGTAAAGCGAAGCAAATAGTTTTTCTTTTGTTAATATATTTATTTGGGGATTTTAATGACATATTTTAGTTTTTGTTTTAAAAGCTGGAATTGGACCACAGGTTTGAATTTATGAAGGATTGCCTCTAATCTATATATGGTCAAAGTTAAACACACCTAGAAACTGGCTGAGCACCAACTTGTTGAACTAATTTTGCTTTCCGTCTCTGACAAGCTGTTTGAAATCTATTTTTTTTTCCCCCAGAGGTTAGAGGTCATTCAGAGAGGTTCAAGTAACACACTGGAATAACGCTGTTCTAATGTCTGCTTTCCCACCATCAGTTCTGATGTGTGGCTGCGATCAGAACTCGGGTGGAAAAAAACCACTTGCCTCCATGTTTCTGTTGGTTTGAGATGAAATGAAGCAAAATGTGGATGTAGCTCATACGCTCTTGTACAATGAACCAGTGCAGCAAAAATAGGCCCTCGGCAAAACGCCGCTACCGTCCTTTACTGCTGGCTCAGTGTTCCCGAACTTGAAAGCCTCGTCTTACAGCTAAGCTGCCCGATCTTTGTCTCATCTGGCCACGACGCGTTTCTCCAGAAAAACACTTGGTCGCTCCAATTAAAAGCCACAACATCAATGGGAAGTTTGTGACTGAAATGCTGCACACGTCTCAGAAATTTCTGGAAGAGCAGCTTATTTAGTCGCATTATTAAGAAGCTGGAGACACCGTCCTGCTGAGTTGACTGCATGATGACAAATAAAACAACGAGGTAAGAAAAAAACAGGGTTTAAATGTAAAAATGATTTCCATTTACAGACTCGTCATTTTTATCAATTATTTCTACGCCGTTCATCGCTCTAGGACATCCAGTTTCCTTCTGTCTGACAGCCTGTGTGCAGCTTCTCGCTAAAAATCCTCCCACCACTGTTACACTATTGGTCAGAGAAGGAAAAAAACTGTGAAAGAGCTGCTCTCTTTGTGTTTCAGAACTGCCAAATAATGATTGATGTTAATTGCACAAATTACACAAAAGGCCTTATAATGACTTTGACAAATGGCAGTGGAAAAAAGTTTGGCTTCACAAAGCTCAGCAGTCCAGAAGAAGCAAAAAAAAAAAAGTGAAACGAAAATATTCCCCATGGTGCAGCATCTTTATTTAAAGAAACAAATAAAGTTGCGTAGACGTTGCACATCTGGCAGGACGTGTATGTTGTGAGCTTTGTATGAACGTAATGCGTTGGAGTGAATTGCTAAAAGAGGACGAAGGTTATTTCCATAGCACTATTCAGAAACAAGATCACCCAAAGTGCGTTACATGATGAAATGAGTAGATTTCAGTAACAAAGAAAGAGAAAAATTGGACTAGACTAAAAGTGATAAAAACTGGGTTTTTATCAAGGTAAAAACTGTGTTTTAAACCTCGATTTAAAGAACATAAGGAGAGAACTCAGTGTTCCAGAGCTGCACTGATGCGCTCCATCTTTTCAGTTAGTGAGACCAGCAGCGCTCTAGATCAGCTGCAGCTGTCTGATTTGTTAAGGCAGTTGTCAATTTGACTAAGGATAAACACATGGATGAGTTTCTGAAAATCTTGTTGGCACAGTAGACCCTTGTTCCTGAAAATGTTCTCCAGGCGGCAGAAGGCTGTCTTTGTAATTGTCTTTATGTGTTTCTGAAAGTTGAGGTCTGAATGTGTCAATGTACGCCCAGATTCTAGACCCGATCAGTAGTTTCTAGCTGTAATAACTGAAGCTGTGTGCCGACTCTTGAGTTTTGTTTTTATTCAGCCAAAGCTAGTTATGGTACCACCACACATCAATTTGTCCTACACATCTACTGTGTAAATAGTGTAAATAGCTTTATTTATTTGAGCACAGAAAATTCTAATGGCTAAAACTAATTACCAGTCACTTAACCAGGTATGAGAACTATTCTGTTTAGTGCACTAAAAGCCTGAAGGGCTTTAAATTGGAAAATTATGATAGTCACACCTCCTTTGGTATATAGAGAGCTACAGAAAGAAAGAACATATATGCAAACAAGAAGGCAACCAACTTTATGATATGAAATTTGTCCAACCACGTCATAAACCAAACAAATGATGCTGAGGGAGGCTGGACTGAGACCAATCTCAGCACATCTACAGAGGCGTCAGTCATCTTGACATCCAGTCAAGTACACAAGTAAACTGGTTTCTGCCTCTAGTACTGTAATCAGCAACTTACTACATCAGCACTTCCACCCGTAACATTTTACAGAGGGCTTTCTGGGTCTACACGGTATTGAGGACTGAGAAATGCCAAGGTGAGCAGTTCTAAACATGGTTTGTTATTTATTTCCAATGTCTGGGCAGAGACAAGAGGTAAACCAATGCTACATTTAAAAGTAGCCATTGTCGTATGAAATAACGTGACAATATTAATTTAGTACTTCCTCTGTTTACCTATGACGCAGTAATTATGAAGAAAAAGTGCTGAAAGGTTTCAGGTTTGAAGACTAGGACACTAGGATCTGAATATCACTGCACAGTAAAAGAACTGTACCCCATAATAATTTCAGCAGTCTTGCAAAATCTCAAGAGATGAGATTTGGATTTGCACACACAGACAAAGGGATGATGGCAGAAATTATAACCAGCTGCCATAGCTCCAAAACTGAGAGGAGAGGCCTAGTGAGGCAGAAACATTTGTGCCGTCATGTTTGCATTCTGCTGTAGGATCTGTGTAAACTGCTGATGGAGGATTGTTAGGACTGGAGAGCAGAAGCCACAACACAGCAGTCCCAGAGCCATATGTGGAAAAGTTTTGTCCAAACATTCATTCTGAAACTTCTGCCACCTATTATATCCTGTAATTTACTGCTGTGTAAACACTCCACTTCCCCCCCCCCCCCGCCCCACCAAAATGTCTGGCCTGAGCTGCTGATGTTCTCCCCGTGACCCTTCCCGCTCATCCTAACAGGAAGCCGAGAAAGAGTGGTCACTTCCTGTCTGACCTTCTGTGCCTTCAGCGGCCATCTTTCCTGCCTCACTTATCTCCCTCACTCCCACGATGTCCTCCAGCTGTCCTCCCCCCTCTTCGCCCCCGACACCAGCACAGTCTCCTCCGGGTGAGGGATGGCTGCCTGATGTATTGTTACAATCGAATCTCGCCGCGGGACTCTCAACC